ATACTTTTTCGGCTCATAACTCTTACTCTTCCGTTTCAAAAAAGCCTGTAGTTCATTGAACTTGGTGATATCTCGTTTCTCATGTATAGTCACCATCGATTTTAGCATTGACCATTTAGTCCATAAAGAATTCGGACTATACGTTTCTGACTGAAACGAATAAACACAATTACTACCAAATCTACCGAAAAACATAGAAAATTCCTTACCAGTTCTTGAAAATATGCCAGAAATACAGTTTCAGTGACATATTTTGGCATAACATTTTTCCGTGTCAGCCAGTCCAGATATATCTTGTATTCTTTTTGGTATACGGCTTCACTTTTCGATGGAAACAAAATTTTATTGAAATCGGTCAGAAATAAAATTATCTATGTACCACGGGAATTAATGAGCCTTAATAACCTCAGGCAATTGCTGTCCCTCGGGCCAGAGGCCCTCGGGACGCAAACTTTGCCATCGGTAATTAAGGCCCTCCTAATTCCCTTGATACATAAATAACTATTTTTTGACCGTGAAAAAGTCTTTTTTTTCACCGTGAAAAAGTCTTTTTTTTTACCGTGAAAAAAAAGTTTTTATTGTCAAAATAATTCACAAAATAAACATGAAATATTACTTTTTGAAGGATTTATTTTCAACAGAGTCAATTAATAATTGATTATTCATCATAAAACAATTTCATTTATTGGAATAATAATTGATCCTAGTAAAGTTTGTACAATTACTTCCAACATAAATTCCCGAAGATGTTCTATGTTGAGCTATTCCTGAAATAGTGACCTGTATAGTTCTTGTACATGTCTTTTCCAAACCATTTTGAAATCAAGCTGGGAATTTCTCCTATTTTATTTATCCCCACATGTTGGTTAATACATACATTTGAAACAGTAAACGTTCTTGCGCAATAGGTCTTCGTATCAGGTATTTTAACAATCAATATAGATCCAGCATATTCAATGGTATCAATAGTTATATGTAATAATTCTTCAGGGCAATAAGTACCGCTAATACCCAAAATAGGACAACCTACAAATAAAAAATATTGAAATCGCTACTAATCTTACAAAATTATGATTACATCTGTACCTTATAAATTAAAATTCGTTTCGTTATCAGCATCTTGAATACATTTATTGACATCATCCCTTGATAAAACTTTAGATTTCTTTCCTCGGTATCCGTCGCTTTTGTTCTTAATGAGCGGGACCAATTTTGAAAACTTCCTTATATCAATATTTTCAACATTGAATAGACACTCCGTAACGTAGGTAGGCTTTATAATTTTTCATTTTTCCTCAAAATAGCATATGAACACATTTTCAGAAACCTTTTTAACATGTTTTTTGTCGCACCATTCACGAAATTAGTGATATATTTTCTCATATACTAACTTGGATTTGACCGCTAACATATTATATAGTATTGCATTTGCTTTCTCGGATATATCTAATGGAGTATCACTACCACTATTATAATCAACATCCATCTTCTTGAAAATAACTTGAAATTGAAGCAACTACGAACAACCACAGTCAAACACGCGGCGTGCCAACTAACCGTTTCTAGTTTCTATAGTAACGACACAGAAAGACCACTGGATGCTGTGAAATTGTATTGAAAGTATTGATAACATTAAGGATGAAATGTATGAAAAATAGTAGTATTATTCAGTTATTTTGGACTTTTTTTTTCAGACAGAAAAACTTTTGAATACGATTTTGCTGAAAACATTGAATAATATATTTTCAAGACAACAGTCGTTTAAAAAAGCAATAACTTATCGGGACAAAAAACCACGTCAAGATGCATTGGAAGTTGTTTGTTGTTTGTATTTCGTGTATAAAATTCGTTATTTGCATGGCACATTCGACAGAATTTTTGGCCTCGACCTGCGGTTTTGGCCAAAAATAATTAACTCATGTGCCATTAAAAAAACACTCATTTTCCGCACTTAATACAAAAATAACTATTTTCTTTATAGCCGGTCGGTACACAGTTCCGGCTTCAAATCGAATATTTGTGCATTAGCAAATTTATAAGCGCGGTCTGCCGTGAGTCCCTCATCTTTAACCGCTGTTACTTTGATATACAAGATATAAACAATATTAATAGCGTGGAATTATTCTGAGTGTTAATCGTGGTGAATATACCTACATTAAAAACTTGTGTTCACCGAAAAATAATTGAAGGAAGTACGAACAAAATGGTTTCAAGTGTCGAATCTATGGACGGAGATGTGATGCAATTTTGTTGCAGAGGCGAAATTAATAATACAGAATGAAACGTTATCAAAAACGTCTGCGGATCGGTACAAACTAGTCTACGAAACATACGAAAAATTAAAGATGGAACATAAAAATTCCTTGTCGAATTCAGAAGAAAATAATTAAGTTATTTATCTTACAGATTCAACTAAAATCTGTTTAAAAAAATCTGTTTTTCCGTTAATCAGCTGTCGCCCCCATACGAACGACAACTCTCAGAAGTTGAGAAACTTGTGCGAGCTAAGGACTAACGAGGTCTTACCTTTTAACGTGTGATTCCTAACACGGTTGCAGAATCATCCCAGCTTCAACCAGATAAATTCTCTCGAGAAAAATATGTGGTCGAGGCAGGGATCAAACCCACGGTCTTCCGATCGTGAATCGGGCGCACTACCACCGCGGCCAATTCCACCAAATACTCCAAAAAGTTGAAACCTTCAACTTTATGGAGTATTTGGTCAATATTAAGAAAACAGTTAAACACCCGGGACAGTGTTGACATTAGCAAATGTCATAAAAATGACGCACCCGTTTCCAAAACTTGTTAAATCCATCAGAAATGATTTCAAGAAAATCCAACTTTTCTGATACCTTTAATTTGGAAATCAAGTAGGTTTGTGTGACTGATTTGTTATTTGTAGGTTGTCCTTTAAAACTAATATACCAGTCAGCAAACAAATATTAAAGAAAGTTTTGCTGAGTTATTTGAAAACAAAAGTAGGATTAAACGAGTTTTGGAAACATATTGTGGATTTATACAGCTTTGAAAATTTATCTGAATGGTTAAGAAATTGAAAAAGACTTATGTGATGCAAAAATAGTGTTTATTCAACTCAACTTTCAAAACAAAAATACAGTCTCTCATTTAAGCAAAAACAGGTTCAAACAACTACTGACAAAAATCGTATATGTATGTTGTATCGTAGCTTTGCTCGAAGACTTTTTTAAAAACACTTTTTATTTGTTACTTGTTACTTCTTTATTGTTTCGTTGTTTGTTTCTTTGTTTGCTTTCTTAACCTATACTTAACCTATACACCAGGAAACTAGTCGATATTACGATAGCAAGTGACCGTACTAGAACCGTGTTGAATCGCGCCAGGACTCTAGGAGATGTGTCGTTAGTCAGGGACCGCACTAGTAATGCGGGCGAGTCTCGAAGAATTGAATTTATAAGTTTCCAAGTGATGATTTAGCATCTGTGAAACACAGAAAATGAATCCGCGCTTTTAATTAAGACGCACTAGTTTCAGGGTGACCTTTATACATAATGCGCAATAGGGTTATAAAAGACCCATTGTATTGGAATATATAACATATGTATGTTATATATTCCATGTAAACAGTAAAGAAGCCGTGCACATACGAACAGGATCTAACAAGTTTTGAAACCGTAGCATACAATGAATAACATAATACCATTGGATCTACGCACCTTGAAACATCACTTACGGCAGTGGACTCACACACTTTTGTAACAGTGTTTATGAAGAATGTAGCTAGTTTTGGAAACGTACTATTTTTTTTAATATCATAGTATTACTGGAAGTAATCAGATTTGATCCACTACAATTATATAGGCATGTGTCAAAGCTGTCAAAGAAGGTATTTTAGTGAAACATGGATCTAATTAGTTATGGAAACGCATGCTTCGAATGTATGGAAAAGAGAATTATTATGCAGTTATTTTGGACACATTTTTTTCAGACACAAAAATGTTTGAATACGATTTTGCTGAAAATATTGAATATTTTCAAGACAACAGTCGTTTAAAAGCGATAACTTATCGGGACAAAAGACCACGTCAAGATGTATTGGAAGTATTAATGTTTAATATATTTCAGACGATGTAAATTCACATTCACAGTTGTACAAAAAATTGTTGTTTGTATTTCGTGTATAAAATTAGTTATTTTCGTGGCACATTCGAGATAATTTTTGGCCTTGACCTGCGGTCTTGGCCAAAAATTAACACTCTCATGTGCCATTAAAAAAACATTTACCTTACTACCACAAAAATCTTAGAAATGTATGAAAAACAATATACACAATACAAGCAATGGGCTGAAGACAACAAGGTGAGTAATTCTTCATAGGATGTTTTACTGGCATTTTTTCACTCCAAAGAAAATCATTAAAAGCTTTGATTAACTTTCAACTCGAAAAGTTGTTATTAAAAAAATATTGACTCTCAATAAATTTCAAGTAAATGATTATTTTTTGGTTCCATATTTTCAAGTTGTGTCCTATCAGAATAATTCAATATTGAAAATGTTTCGATTCCTTGCTCATGGTAAGTATTGCTTTTAGACTGTAATGAAAATGAGGTATACAGTCTACTTCAGAGTTCTTTTCCTATAATATGAATTTTCTGTCACCATCATCATTATTCGTTTTAACCAATTTTACGTATCTATTAAATAAACGATCTTAGCGAATCCTCAAAGTAAAACTCTTCATTTTGGTTTCTTTAATCCTAGCTTTATGAAAATCCTAACCTAGTTTTCTCTTTGAGAATGTAGGTACCACATTAAGAAATATACTAGCTAGAACTACAACTTATTATTTCCATCTTTTCCTTGTATCAATTTTACATTATACAGTAATACATTCCTAACGAAATGGAAGCAGTAATTGATGAATTGTTTATAATGGATGATTTAGATTTTTTGCCAGGCCAAAATGTATTGAAAAAATGGACGATTTGACTTTTCACAAAAAAAAATTGGCAACATTATGCAGTTTCCTTCGTATATTAGAATCATTAAAAACAATTTGAGTTGGAACATGGTCTGTATTTGTCTAACACCTGAAAAAGTGAATATTTGGGTAGAGCAGCAAATTAGAAAGTGTAGTCATACTATAATTCCGATTATTCCGACAGTGAATATTATCGTCTCCAGGGAGAGGCTACAAATCATTATGAATATAAACTTGAATTGGAAAAAAGTAAAAGTTTTTTACTTACAGCGTCATGGAGGTTGAAAAGCATTGTTAAAAAAACACCTGACAGAACATATTAAAATATGTGTACCTATAGGAAGATGATTTATTGTACACAAGTCAAGAGACATAAATATGACAAATGAAGTTAATACGGTAAAATAATTTAATTTTACATTAATAAATTCGTTGAATTCCTCAATAAAATTTTTCTATTTTAAATGTGATAGTGATGTTTGACACATGAGATTCAACAGGTTATACCACAGAATACAGAATTCTAACCATGAGGTTGCATAAAACAACAGAATGACACTTAACATTTGATATTTGAAAACCATTTATGTACTTGCTGAATACAATTGCTAGTTCTCATCTTAAAAAAATTTGCCAAACGTAATTGTATATTATAATTTTGCTATGCTAAGTAAAAATGATTTTATATAATGTAATATCTGTTATGAGTAAAAAACTAATCAAATGCAATTTATTGTATGATTTTCACTGTAAAAGGGTTTTACAAAAACAGCGACACATGTTTCGCTATACAATAGAAACAATAGAAAAAATTAATTTTCCCGAGATCTACTACTACTTATACATTTGTATACTATTTATCAGACAACACAATTCATTTGATTTTCATCCAGAATAAAATGCATGCTAGAAAACAACTACCTCCCTGGCTAATACCACGATGGACATTGAATTATATCCGACAGACATTCATGCAAGATGCCTCACAGAGAAGTCTTTCAGATGCTTTTTGTTCATCCTGAAGCAGGATCACCCTGGAATAAATCAAGTAGGTATACCCCCCACTGACTGGTTTCAAGATATTACAGTCGAGTTCCGGGCAGTGTACCTCGCACTCAACGGACTTCGTTGCGGTCTGACTGTATTTATGAAACCTTCATCTAAGAGAAAAATTTGTCGACTAGTAACAGACACATCCCACAGAAATCAAAAGAAGTCTTGAATAATGTAACGTAAACGAATAATGTAATGAAATGCGTATGAGAAAATATTTTAAAATGACATTTGGAAATATTTATCTCTTTCAACATACCTACACAGTAGGTTCTAGTAAATGCCTACCAAGAAACAACTAATACTGACTATTCTCTGTGAGGTATCTATCAAAAATGTCTGTCGGATATAATTCAATGTTCAGCTTGATATTAGCCGGGGAAGTAGGTATTTACCAGAACTTACGTTGGGATAGACCACGTTGGTTATTTGAACCAGCCACCAGTACAAGCGAATGGTAACATTGAAGCAAAAGTGAAGGGAAAACAAAAAAGATTCAAATCACTGATAATATATAAATGGAAATGTTTTTCATATTTACAAGTACAGCTATCTCAGTTAAAAGTATTTTAATACACTGGTTTAATGAGTAATCTTTTAAACTGTCAAGTCATTATGAAGAGTTGACATTTCCAGTAGTAAAACAAGTACTATTTGATTCTGATTTGAATATGTTTGGCATTTCAATTATAAAAACTAGATGTCGCTACTACGTGGTACTCGTGAAAAGTAGAATAAGGTAGAATATTAGAAGCATGAAATTTTAAGTCAGTCAGCATTACTCAGGGAAGCTATGGATTATACTGTAGACGACCCCTCCCGATATAGAAGGCCCCGACACTCTGTCAAATGAGGCTCCTATATCTTCCGTTGAAAGATGAACAACTTTTTCATCCAACTCACCCCAGCCAGGCAGGGGTACACCGTGAAGGTCAGTACTAATGTCTGAGGACACTCATGCCGCCATACCATCAACACCCACATCAGTTTTGACCCGTTTGTCCTGGCAAACATCAGTCCAAAGGGTAAGGGAGCCAGGCTCCAACCTGTCTGAAATCAAGATGACCTTCCACCAAGAGTCAGTCAGAAGCTGGGATTATCAAACGCAGAAAGAGAAAGAAAAAAACACTTTCCAAATGTAGAATATTTTATATTATCATCTTAATTTACAATATTGTAGAGAAAAAACAACATGTTGAATAACAGATCCTAGCATCTCATTAGGTTTTCAGTTCAATAGTCTGTGAGAATATTTTTGTGTAGACTAATTCATAAAAAAGGAGAGCTACTGAGAATTGGAAAAATAAGATTGGAAATAAGATGGAAAACTATCAAAATAAATTGGTTACACAATATGCAAGAATCTGTAAAATCAAACATCATTCTTTGTATTTCTATATGCATATTCTCAGTAACTCGTTTTTGTACAATTTCAAAGAAAAGGTTCCTCAACTAAAAATATCCAAAACTGGTATCAACCACAAAAACAGATTCAACTATTGAAATTGGTTTGTGTTTATAAAAATGTGTAACATAACTTTTCTCTCAAAAGAGGGCGACAGAAAACAAATTAACATCTTGTAATGTCAGAGTTGAAAACTATTGTCTTCAAAAGGATAACACTAGATACTATGTATTTATTGAAAAATGCCTAAAAACCGAAGAAACTAAACTAATATTCGGATTATTTCATTTGTACCATCAAAAAAAATTCATGAATGAATATGTTTAACACGGTTTTAAAAAATACACTTCCACTGTGAAAAAAAAATGTTGATGAAAATTTTGCTTCCATCACTTTTTTTAACTGTTATGCTTTCTATTCTAAATAAATAGCAACCATTTCAATTGCGAACTTTTCTGCTTGAGGTTACGTAACCTCAAAACAAAATTTTCGAAGATAATTTTGATGATGTTACAATTCAGAAGATTGTTTATTGCTCTTTCAGGTTATTTTCATGACAGCTTGAAATATCAAGGTCAAGTTCATTTTAAACATGAACTCTAGATTATTTCAAGATCAACTTTTTATAGAAATTCTGCTTTTTGGAAAAACAGGAACACTTTTACGGTTGGGTATGTACTCACAGGTCCAGCCTGATTCAGAAGATCATTCTGAAGATATATAAACTTCAACAAAGAAAGGATACCTCCTAGCAAGTCACTATTTCATACCACTTGTTCAAATACTAATATTTTGAACAATAAATTATGCATTGCTATTGAAAGCTTTTATGCCCAGAGATTTTAAGTACTGTGGAATGATCCTCAAGTTGGCCTTAGAAGTAAAACTTTCATAAGTGTTCATATTTCATTAGAAGTACAAATTACCTTTGAAATGACCTCTGAGGCCTGTTATAGATTTGAACAACTAACTTTCTGATCGTTCAGTCCCTTGTGAAAAAATCAGAGTTTCAGTTCAGCCAATTAAAAGAAAATTCAAATATGTATCTGCTCTGAGTTGACCTTGAAGGTAATTCCCAAGGTCACCACATTTGAAATTAAATTTGAATAACATTCATCAAAAATTGCCTCAAAATAATCTTGAAGCACATGGCTAAGCACAACATGAAAGTCACTACTAGATTTCTCCTCGAGATTCTGAAGAAATGACCTTGACCTTGAAAAATATTTTACTGGATGAAGCATCCAGTCATTCCATAACTTTTTAAATACCCAGATTACGAAACAGTTAAAGTTATCTGTGTTATAAGACACAACGATTTTTTAGCAGAAATTTGTCAAAATAAAGAAGAAATTCTCTCCAGAGATATGTGCATATGAGATTTTTTGATAACACTGAATTATCGGTTTTTATGCATTTTAATCTAACCTATTACGCTTTGCATACTTTCTCTAACTCCCAATTTTTGTCCACGTTTTATTTACACTATCATCTACACATTACTAAAAAATATAATTCACTCAATATATTTTATCCACACTTTTTTCGTATAAAGTAAAATGAAGACTGTACAATATATCGTGCAAAATAACACTTACAATGTAAATCTAAAAGAATAATGTTATATCACAAACATTTTAGGAAAAAGTAAAGGACAACGCACGAATTTCCAACGCCCGGAAATAAAGATACACGGAGCATTCAAAAAGGTGACTACAAGATTTCATCCTAATCCATCAAACTATCATCAAATACATAAAATAACAATTTTTATGAGAGTAGAAAATTTACATGCGGGGTTTTCAGATATAATTTTCGGTACCGAAACGGAGATGCAGTTAACCTCCAGCGATCTCACAACGGAAAAGAACCGAGAATACGAAAAATTGTGTCCCATGCGTGTTTTTCTTCACTTTCCTTAAAGCATGTACCTTCTACTCTTCAGCCTAGACACTAAATTGCAAATTTTGACAGCAGGGCCCAGTTTCAGACCCATGTACTTCATCAACATGTCCGAGTTGAGGAGCAAAAACGCTTTTCCGTCTATTTCCTGTGAAAGAATTATGAGGTGATAAGTCATCAATAGAAAATCAGGTTACCCCAAGGATCTATTCTTGGGCCAATAATGTTATTGAAATACGAAAGCTTGAAAAAGTGTTATTATCAGTGACTCTAAATGATACATGATACTATATGGAATTATTACCCTATAAATTGATGTAGCCGTTACTACGTGGTAGGAAATCATAATGAAGAAAAGAGAATTGAAACTTTCTGTTTTTACCACTTTTATTTGTAACTAACGTTACGTCCTTATAGGACGAAACTGCAGTAACTTTAGTTACAAATAAAAGTGGTGAAAAACATAGAAAGTTTAAATTCTCTTTTCTTGATTATTATCCTACTTTTGAATTTTTTAAAATTATTATTCAGTCTTAAGATTTGATAAGATTCGTAATTATAACCAAACAAAAGCAGTAACTTTAGTTACAAATAAAAGTGGTGAAAAACAGAAAGTTTAAATTTTCTTTTCTTGATTATTATCCTACTTTTGAATTTTTTAAAATTATTATTCAGTCTTAAGATTTGACAAGATTCGTAATTACAACCAAACAAAAGCAGTTCTTTTTTCTTTTTCATAATGTTCATACTTTTTGTTTTCCATTATTATTAAAAACATATTGGCAATTATTGTTGACACAACTTTTTTTTTCAAATTGCCATCGAAAAATCTCTGGCGTCACAAGTGAAAATCTCACATTAAAAGTATGTTTTTTGAATATGATATAATGGATTTTCACCAAGTATCGGTCAGTTTTATGAAAGCTTTCTCTAAATTCGTATCACTACAAGGTTAGTAAGGTATCATCGGCAAAGCAAATAAATGCACTTACTGTTTACATTTGTTCAGCGACATTTCTCAAACATGAGTTGGCAACTCTTTAGATACTTTTATACCCATATTAAAGGGATAAATATGGCAAATCTATTGATGGTATTTTCACCAAAGTTGAATTTCTTCAATTTATTCAATAAAGCAAATTATTATTTGCTTGATTTTACACTTCGTATGAATAAAATACAAGGCCAAGTGAGAATTTTTAAGACTTTGAATAGTTTTTTGCTGCTAGTGTGGTTATTGACTCTCTGAATATATCTGACAATTGTCTTAAGTTGACATGCTGTATGAGATTGTAGAGGGAAATTGTGCGCAATAGTAGACATGTAACAAAAATTTACTGGGCTTTTGACTGAAACTTGTCTATCTCAACTTATTGAATTCTATTGTGTAGATAACTCTAAAACTGCTTGTATGAGAGGCTCCTTGACCCATAATTTTGCAATTTGTTTAGAAATGCCTTACTGAGTTCTAAGAGAAAAAGCCAAGAGTTGTCTTTTCTCTATCTAGATTTTTATATAGTTCACTAAGACATTATGGCACGCGTTTTCGACGGCCCACTTCTAAAGCCAAATTGATCTGGATTGAAAAATTCTCCACGGTTGAAAAAGAGACAAATAAATAACGAAATGAATATCATGAACTCACATGTTCTCTGAACAAATCGGCGTGCACTCCCAGACATGGATCTGTTGACTCGATGAACTGTATGACTTCTTTGATGCTCCATTCCTGCACCGGGATTTTGTTCAAGCTCGCTGCCGCGGACTCGGTAGAATTCGACGGTTCAGGGGGGGTAGTCGAAGTGGCTGCCTCTTGTTCAGGAGGCTTACGCTTCACCGGGGATGGCGAAGACTTCAAGTCGCACAAAGGGCACTCTTTTAGGACCTGCTCCAGGGCTGAGGAAAGAGAAAAATGGATGACGTACATGAATTGAATGAAAGACCATGAAACAAACTGATCAATTACATCTGGGATAGCTTTATTTCCGGATGAGCTGAACCATCATTATTGTACTATTGCAATCCCTGTCTCTCAGCGTGCATTGCGCTAAACAAGTTAGCCTTATCAGATGATGAAAACTGAATCTTACATCTGTGTTACAGTTTTTATATACATCGGAAAGAACCATCACCTTACCTAATAAGGCCCATGAAATTAATTCCTATTATTTACTACTTATTGTATTATTTTATTATTGTTTTCTAATTCCTAATTTATATCTGTCTCTGTTTAAAATCTGTTTTTCCGTTGATCAGCTGTTGCCCCCATACAAACAACAACTCTCAGGAGTTGAGAACTTATGCGACCTAAGGACTAACGAGGTCTTACCTTTTAACGTGTGATTCCTAAGAAACTATGAATTAGCCTAGTTCTCTAGGCTTCCTCATTCTCCAAGTTTGATTCATTATCACACATAAACATTACACATATGTGTAAAACCCATATAATGTGAGAATTTTGATCTTTTTTGAAATGCCTCGACATATGTCCCCTATATTGCCTATTGAATATGGCTTTCAAAATGCGTTTTTTCATAATAAAAATGGGTTATAAATATGTACTTCCACCCCATACAGCACATCATATTTGAGAAATGAATAAACAGTTCCATACTAGGCAGTTTTAAGAGCATCAATATTTGGGTATCTTTTTTTTTTATAACTCTGATCACCTAACATTCACTTGCAAGCTTTTTGGTAAGGGTACATATCCCATAATTTAGTTTTTCATTAATAAATATGCCTAGCATGTACATGAAAAATACAGTTTTCTTTTACCCAATGAAGCATTGCTGGAATTTTTGTATCGAAATTACTTGTCTTCAATATAACAAAGTTAGTTTTGGTGGTATTCATAAATAGTCTTGATTGAAATAAAACAATGCAGTGAACCTATTTTATTGTTTAGAGTTTTCAAAAGTATCCTGTGGGAGTTATGATGACTTGAATCGTCAGCATAACTCACAACAGATATGCTCGATTCTTTAAATATTTCTGTCAAGCCATTTATACAAATTATAAAAAGTAAGGGACCCAGCACACTTCTTTGTAGTACACCATTTTAAATGTTTGCCCGATCAGAGGAAACCTCTTCATCATTACTTTTTTTTATGTCACTCAAATATGATTGCATGAGCTCAAGATTTGTTTCACTAATACCATAATGGAACAGTTTTGAAGTAAGATGGAATGACTAACACTGTCGAAAGTCTTATTCGAATCCAAGAACACACCACAAACACAGGAGTCTTGTTTATGTGAAAGAGAAATTTGATCTGCAAAATCAGATAAAGCAGTTTCTGTGCTGTCCCCTTCAAGGAAACCATGTTAAAAATCATTCAATAAATTATGTATTTGGAAAAAATGTAGAATCCTTCCTGAAATGATTGGAAAACACTGCCAACCAACTAATTAGCTGGTAATCATAATACCATTGAGTTACCCTTTTTATATACTGGCAATACTAAAGCTAACTTCATTTGGTCAGGAGAGATTGAAAATTCTAGGCAAGTATTGAAAATATGAAACAGAATGGGCAATAAGGAATAAAAACAATGTTTCTGTTTAGTTACTATGTTATCTGCACCACTACCCAGCTAGCTACAATTATTTCCTCTGCGTTAATTAGGTACAACAATATATAATATATTCTTGAGAGAGCAAGTTTTCTGAATCAAATAAAAGTTCATTATCTATAGTAGGTGCAGAGTTGACAAAATTATTGTTTAACTTATTATTTTATATTATAAAAACAAACGGTCCCGGAACACTACCTGTTTACTTTGAGTAATCTCATTCACTATTGGGTTCGAATTACTTGTTTACTGTGTTGATTAGGTGTAATAGCTTGTTTAGTCATTGAGTTAATATTTGTTGAATGTGAGTTATGGTGTTTACGGTTTTGATGACTGATTATCAAATTTCTACTGTTTAAAATAATTGACAAATTTGAAACCTAGAAGAGGAAGTAAAAACACAGACAATGAAATAATAATTATTGTCTTTATTACTTCCAATATACAAGAAATAAAATACAATTTTGAGCGGATAACATTGATTGAAAGTAAGTGAAAGAGTTCAATTTTTGTGGGTGGAGAGCCCACAAAGCTTAAACTTATTGTGAGCTGAAGAAAAAAGTAAATATTGAAACAGATGAAAAAATTAAAATTTGAATATGCTAGTGATGCATCATTGTAATCACAATTTTCTTTGGGTAATCAATAATAAATGAAAATAAAATTTTTGTGGTTTGTTGTTTTTATATATTTTTTATATGTTCGACGTTTTTTCATTCTTTCATTTTCACCAGTTGTTGAAGTAATATCAAATACAGTGGAAAATTCTTACCAAAAAGGTTTTGGCAGCATCCCAGCGCCTGAGATAAAGTCTGGAATACTCCCTCCAAATCGCCTGCCTTCGACAACTGTGNCCTTATTCCTACTTCTTTGACACTTTTCACTTCAATAATCAACATTTTTCCAATAAAAATATTGAAAAATGTACGGAGCTGTTTTTTGGTTACATATCTCTGTATTTTACGTTTTCAAGGTTAATGGCATGGTTGGTACGACTGATGCAGTCAATATTCCTAAAATAATTCAAATATTTTTTACCTTCATTCTTTAGATCGTAAATTGGTTTTGGTAGTGTATTACGAATTTGAAATAGTAGGCCGCTTTTTTCTGAAATGTCACTAGTAACTAACCTAGAAACAGACACTCCAGTAGACGCTACGTGTACCGCTTTATCCAGACATTCCAAAGCAGTCCAGCTGAGTTAGTCAAAAACACGTAGTTGCACACCATTCCGGACGTAGGCTTGCAAGCTGCAAGACAGTCTTTGTCCCCCGACGAAGCTTTTGTTATGTAACAACCAGTTACGTAACAGGAGGAGCATTGGTCATATGCGCCTGAAGATAGGAAGCAACGACCATCCAAAATAGAGAGAGAGCGCCACTTTTTTTTTCGGATTCGTAATCTACGCATCAAAATACGTAGTACACTCAAACATTTTTTCAAAATCGCCGGGTGCCCTCAAAACGAAAATTTACCTTAGTTTCATTCTTTATAATTAATTTCACCGACTTGAAGGTGGATATACAAATAAAAAGTTGACATCTCACCTGACTGACAAGCTTCTTTGCTAACACTGCTGGAGAGGTATCTTCTATTGAAGATACCAGCTGAGTAGAATCTATCAGAGGCCCTCCTAAACAGCTTTTCCGGAAATGTATGGCAATTGGTGGTGGTGGCGTAGCAGAAGTGTCCGCTTCCGGAGACTGAACCACCTCAACAGTAATTGAACTGACAGAAGAGGTGGGAGCATGGGCTGCAAATGAGGGTCTGGACCACCTACATCTGAATAATGAATGTGATGAGTTTGAATTTTTAACACTGAAACAGTTCAACATGACTAATGAAGCTCAGCTTGATAATGCCTACTAGGGATTATTTCTCTCAGTTATTTCTCCACATAAGATGCATGGTACAAGGAGCATTGAAGACCTTTTTTTTATTCAACTCGGTATTTTGCCACTTCTAACAACATATATCTATAAAATTTCAATGGAGATTCATATATCGAGTGATCCAACAAAAAGTATGCACCTTGCTTTTCTCCTTTTTTTGTAACTTAACGCAAAAATGCTCGGACAGGTCAATTTTGCTTTTGAGGGGGACACATTTTAGATGTATTTTTCTACCTGTGCCTTCAACCCCCTAGCGAGGGTGAGTAACAACCCTAAAATTTTAAATGGAAAGTGCGGTCGAGTGATATATCTTTTGAAAGGGCACAAAATTCTCTTTCCAATGATACCTAATTTGTTGTATTTACTTGAAAAGTTATAAAAAAAGTAAGAACATTGTTAAACTTTATTATCAACATAATAGTTGTGCTAGACTTACTGCTCGCCTCTTTAATAACAGTCATCCTCGGAAAAATGTGAATGATTCGTATGTTGCCAAGTTAGTCCAAAAGTTTGTTGATACCGGATCTGTCTGTAATGTGAAACACCAGCCACGGAAACCGATCAGAAATGAAGCAGTGGAAGTCGCTGTTTTGGGACATGTTGAATTGGATCATACTCAAAGTACTCGTCAGCTTGCTGTAGCCTCAGGTGTCTCCCGTTCGTCCATAATACATATATTAAAAGCCTATAAATTTCATCCGTACAAAATTAAATTAGTAAAGGAACTTAATGAAGATGATCCTGATAGAAGGCTGCAATTTTGTGAACAACTGAGCCAGCTATTAATTGATGATCCGCACCTATCATTCAACACGTGCTTTTCCGATGAGAGTACATTTTTTTTTAATGGAGCTGTGAATAGGCATAATTGCCGTTACTGGGATGACAGTAACCCACACTTATTCCGAGAGGTCCATACCCAGTACCCTCAAAAAACAATGTCTGGTTAGGAATATGCATGTATGCCACAAATTCAAGTATCTGTCAAAGATTGTCTATGTGCAGCACTAAAAAACAATATATTTTGCTCTATATGGTATAATTTCTAAAAAAATCCAATTATGAATTAAAATAATTTGTAGAAGATGGAAAACTTACTCATCTGGCATTATAAGACAAAATTCTTCGATGTTTATTGACTATACTCAAAAATAATTTTGCTCAAACAATTCAAAGATCAGAATTGGTTCCCATAACATGTAATCACCAGGCAAAATACCAAATCAACTTCAAAGTGCATGTACCAAGTTATTAAAGCCTAACCTCATTTCTTGAAAAACATAAATAACTACATTGTTTTTCAAAATAAAAAACAGATATTATCAAAAGAAAAAACTTATTTGAACACATAAATACCAGATATCCCTTCTTTTATGCTTCACAGAATTAGTCAATTAGAATTGTAAGTCTTCAGACAATAAAGCATTTTTGATTGATTCATTGATTGACTTAATGTATAACTTGTTTTTGTAATTTGAAAAGGTAAACTCACATTTCTTCTAGATATTTTTTACAGTTCCTTTATATGCTCATAGTTCTAGGATCAATTATTTGTTGTTGTATATATATTTGACAGTTATCTAATTTTCCATATTTCAATCAAAAGTTTAATTTACTTTATTTGTGATATAGTGTTTGAAATAAATATGACTGGTTCTAATGATTGGAAAAACTAAACCCATGAACAAGTTCATTTTATTAGGAAATTCTTTAGATTATTTACATATCATGCTAGTTATATGGTTGTTAAAAAAGAGCATTGGTCCTTAAAAGATCACACAATCAATATCTAACCAGTATAGACAGTAAAAGAATACATGTTTACAGAATATATGAATAAATAGATAAATAGAAACATTAGTATCTGTCCATACTTCAGAACTAACCTCAAAATACTTTTTGCAACATTTACAAATTATATTAACAGTTAAATATAATTTCAAATAGTTAAGATGATTAACAATTTCAAATAGTTAAGATGATTAAAATAAATTTGAAAAGGAGATATCAAATTTCATTGGATATATGATGGAATTGGCCGATACTTGATGAAAACCCATAACTAACATATTCAAAAATGACTTCATCGTGAGATTTTCATTAAACAGTTTTACAAAAACGCAAGACGTGTTTCGCCATACAATGACTTCTTCAGGAGTGTCTTTACTGTGAAAATCGCACAATAAAGAGTTTTTTGAATAAGTTGAATTTCATTTGGGAACTGGCAGTAAAACATTTATTCAAGAAACACTTCATTGTGAGATTTTCACTAAACAGTTTTACAAAAACGCAACACATGTTTTGCTATACAATAGCTTCTTCAGGGATGTCGTTAATCGTTATCAATAAGATAGAATATTTTTTCTGAATACCTCTATTACAGATTTTCTGAAATCTATCAAGTTTTTTTATGTTTTCTAGCAACTTATTAAACACTTTGGTTCCTACTAGCATTGTAGATAGTATGTGAGAGGGAATAATTTTAGGTTTATATGAATTTCTAGTTGGCTCCTGAAAATATACTTTGAATAAACAATTTACTGTTTTATTTTGTAATTTTTGTATTGTCTAATATATACTGACGAATATATTATTAGTCGAACTCCGAACAGCTATTAAATATTGCAAATTTGAATTTAACAGGAAGTGGAAAATATTCATTGTTATGTAGAATGTATGAGTTATCTAGAATGAGGTATCTTATACTGAATCTGTTTAAAAATATGTTTTTCCGTTAACCAGCTGTCGCACCCCTACGAACGACAACCCTCAGAAGTCGAAACTTGTGCGACCTAAGGATTAACGAGGTCTCGCATTTTAATGTGTGATGCCTAACACGGATAATACACAATTAACTGGAGGCTGGAGAGAGCTTTCGTTCCTAAATTTTCAATATGAATTTTCTATAGTAAATTTTCATCGATTTTTAATCCTGGAAATTGTATAACTAGTTTGTAGGCNTGTACGACTAGATACAAAAAGTTATGCAGAAATTCTTGTGAAAAAATATGGGTAAAACTAGTCCTTCAAGTTTGCATGATTTGATATTTTCAAACCTTTGAATAATCTAAATAACTGATGTCCAAATTTTTGACCGTCAATAAGAATTTTGCATGTAAATTTCATTAGTTTTTTTAACGTCTTCATAGCTGTGACAAAATTATATTGAAGATACAACATTCACATTAACATTGATATTATAATAACATATATATCTAGTATCTGTAATTTACATTGTTATTTTTATCTATTTATTGAATGCTTGGATAATTCCAAGCATACATATTTTAGTGTTATGAAGTTGGACTGTGACTTTGTCTATCCAAATTTAAAATGTTTTTGTAAATTAGGATGCCTATTTGAAGTAAACATATTATTATTATTATCATTATATTATTATTCATTATGATAAATTATTCTACACTCGTTTAGGTCCTTTTATTTTATTGAACAAATTAATTACATTCTTATATCTATTTCATATAACTTCATCATCGATTGCAGATGAAAAGTAATTATACTAACCATACTAAAATAGTCTATATTTCATAATCTAGCACTCACCTATTCTGTCCTGGAGGCTGCATAGGATGTCCTGATTTGGCACACCACCCCACAGGAAATATATCTCTACTGTCATATTTACACCAATAATCGAAAGCTCCTCTCCATCCATCAAAAGTAACATGAATTTGGTCATTTTTAACAGCACCAACTGTAGCACAACAAATTAACTGAGGATTTTTCTTGTCAACAGCCTCTAATTTTTGCCCAACTTGAAACAGGTTCGTCCTTGGACCAGTCGGTTCTTTCTGGAAAATCTTTGCGGGCGCCATTTCAGCCCCGTTGAGAGTCTTCAGCAAAAACATCGGCCAAGAGCTGGCATTCATACGGAAACCTAGAAATGTGCAAACCGTGTGTATATGTCATAGTTTATATATGTATGTGTTTATAGAAGATGAAATAATAAAATAGCATCAGTGATAAAGTAAGTTAAAGAGTAATTTTGAGAGATGTATCTTAAGTTTAAATAATGTAATGTTGAAAATACCAATGTCATCGTTATCATTTATGATGTCTTCAACTAGGAGGCAGTGGTCGATTAGAATTATGAAACATTCGATTTGTGTCTAAAATGAATATCAGGTACATTTGAGATCAATGGAGGCAACATTTCAGGAAGGAACATATTATTTATTCATTTATTTATTTATTTCATACACTATTCTACAGNCTCCGCTCTGAGAGCCCTTAAGGATTTTCTTGTTGTGCTTGTGTTTTATCTGTAAAAAAATAAGCTGCATAAAAGTTGTATAGCGATACATTTGGCCAAACTAGCTTAGAGATACGCAACATATGAAATGCTTCAGTCAAACGAAAAAACGGTCAACTGCCGCTGAGCCGGTGAAGCGGAGAAAGGCAAGAGAGGATAGTTGATAGCCTTCGAATGACCTATAAATAGTAAATTTTCGAAGGAATATTTCAGTCATCACCCGAAGACGATTATGGATACTAATAGTCGAAACGTCGTGGAGTTACTTGACTTAACCCGTGTTCTCCTTTTTTTAATTTATTTTCCAATTTTCTGCCTATTTTCATTGTCTCCATTTCTTTTCACTCTGTTTTATTGCTTTGGATAATTGACATTTTAGCTATTCATTTTAATTTTTTTATTCAATCTTTCATAGATTTCGAATCATAGTAGAATCATATTAGACAATGGAAGTGGGAAATAAAAAAAATCACCATGAAACATTGTCAACCACTTTCAAACATCGTTATGCATCATTGGTAACTCGAGTATAAACAGCACTGGTGTATGAAATAACCAATCTTATTCAATATATTCAACAATAAGTCATTTAAGAATTATTGAAGTGTTTCGGTGATTTTCAGTGTTGTTTCTTTATGAGCAATTGAAATGAATTGAAAGAGATAGGAATGTTCTGGGTTCTAGAAATATCTGCACAAATATCTATTGTATAATAGTGGGGAGAGAGGAGATCCCTGAGAAAATCCTTGAAGCGGATTGAAATTGTTGAAATGAAATTTAAGACCTCCACTTTTAGCAGTTCTATCAACAGATCTCAGAGAATAAAATTCATATATGTTGGACAATTTATCTGGAATAGTTTGTACAGTACACCCTTATACCAAACACCGTCAAAAAGTTTTACTTATGTCTAAGAATACAGCCTCTCTCTTTTTATTATGCAACTATGTTGTCTCTATGTTGTTGTTTAGGATTGTAAGATGATATGTTATTGAGTGATGTTTTTGAAACCTAAGTGGTAACCTGGTAGTTCAATTCCGATTGCCTATTCCAAAAGTTGACCTTAAATTACATAAAAACTTATTTTATGCTAATTAAGTCATACCGGACTAATTCACTAACATATTAAAAAAAAATCTGTTTAAAATCTGTTTTTTCGTTAACCAGCTGTTGCACCCCTACGAACGACAACCCTCAGAAGTCGAAACTTGTGCGAGCTAAGGATTAACGAGGTCTTACCTTTTAACGTGTGATTCCTAACACACTAACCTAACCTAACACTAACATATTAAGTCATACCAGAGTTTAATCTTCCTCTTGAAGATGATCACTTGGTGATCGAAACACGTGTCAAGGTGTTAAAAATAGCGATTTGGTGTAATATTAATACCAGACTAATTCACTAACATATGAAGAAATAAAAATCAAGAATAATGGGAATCAACAAAAAATCATAAGCTCGGGAATATTTATTGATTGTCAACAGAGATGGAATGAACAAGCTAATTATGTGCAAATATTATCAATTTGGAATATCTCAAAATTTTATATCGCAACTAGTTGAATCTCACTTGGCATATAGTCTCACTGTCTGGGGAGATGCGGCAACAAACACAATGAACATAGTGGAGCAGATAGAGAAGAACATCTTCTGAAGCATTGTACCAAGAATTAAGAGTACTGAATATGACTCAATTGTAGTAACAGAGTTGATGCTATTGTGGAGGCAATAGCAAAAAAATGATTGGACATAAATGATTCTCTTAATTATAATTTTTTCAAAAACTGAGTAAGTTTACACATACTTCCTTATAAGTATATACCAGAGCTTCTATGGGTGAATAGGTTATAGCACCAATTAGATACAGAGCTATGATGAATTTTAACCAACTATATACACTCATAAACACACTTTTATATTTAGATATGTGTATACTTTTAGGTACGTACAGTACACAGAATGAACCATGGCTGGCATAAGTTCCGACCCCTATTTGTACAAAAAATTCAGTGTTTACAACCTTTGATTGCTTGTGCTCGAGTAATAAACATGAAATTATCCAACAGTCTAACACATTATCCTTTAAAATTTACATTTTATATAAGCAGTCACATCAGCAATCTCGTCGATAATTTTAGATCTATTTGTACAAATTATAATTTTTCTGTTTTTTTTTCATACATCATACTTACTCATATTAAACTCATAACCAAAAGAGCTTAGCCTTAATACATATAATCACATGTAAATGATAACCCGTCCTAGTATAAGTTTTACTTATGTTGGTGTCGGATTTATTCACAATGTGAACTTTGTTTGTACGAAATGTATTTGTTTTTATTTATGATTTTATGGTACATAATGAAAAGAACCAGGGAATTACCGCAAATTCACATTAATAACTGTAGGCATGCTCAAAAGACATTGATTTCATTTATTCAGGGTGTTAAAAATACAAAAGGATGCCACAGAACATGAATGTAAAAAAAAGTTGATAGTCGCTTGAATCTGACATGGTATTTTATTTTTGAACTTATGTTCAAACTTGTCAATTTTTTATGTGACCTTTTCAATGAGTCCTTGCTTGAATTTTATATGTATAAACAACTGTTTTTACTAAATGTAAATTATCGTAGCTTCTGTTATAACTTATATCATTAGCCAAATAAGTTAATGTAAATAAAGTATAACACAAAGAGTTCTTTAGTAACAATTTTGGAACTTGAAAGAAATCATTCACATGCAAATGGTACTTTCTGTCCCTTCAGAACTTTCTATAAATGAAACACTACATTACAAATCACAAACATGGAATCGATTGTAGAAGGCATATTTTAAATGATAAAAAAGAAGGTGACATTCCTTATCTTTTTCTATAAATTCATTTCTAGTTCAATTTTATAACAATTCTAACACAACCAAAAAAAAATTCCGTATAAAAGTGTCATTTAGTTTCATAAACAATTATTGTGTTTTTAATTGTATGTAGTTTGTTGGTAAAGATACAAATTAAAATTTGTACATGAAAAAAAGTGGTAAGTGAATAATGGTTTGTAGCATGCAATAGTGAAATGAAGGTGTCATTGTACAAGTTTTTATGAAGTGAGTTCCTGAGTGTTGATTTTTTCAACAGTTTTGACTATTGATATTTCCAGAATAACACGAGACCACCAAACTTCCACTTCAGATTCATGATCAGTGGAGCAAAATACATAGGGCTACGCAATTTTTAGTAACTAGTGTGGACTGTCAAAACAAATATTTACCTGAAAAGGTCCCGGAGAGCCTTCAAGCGGAGTTGTAGGGGCTATAGCAGCAACTCGGGAGTTTGTAACTTCCTTTTTTTGGTGCTTATTCATACAGAACGTTGAACAATAGTCTTTGGAAGGCGTGTTATTGCCTCGAATCACATTATCGCACTGTATACACGCTCCCTTAACGTAAGCCTTCCGGAATTCAGCCAGACATGTTTCGGAACAAAACTCTTTTTTGCCATTTGTTGTGGGAAAAACGTATTTCAGTGGGAGTTTGGTTTCATTACACCAAGTGCAGGAAATTATTTTCTTAGGAGGTCTGCCGGGCCCCCTGACTTTAGGTGTAACTGTACCGTTGTTGGACATATTTTGTTCAATTATTTAGATAAATATTCATGAACATTTCAATTGTACAGAATGCACCGTCATAATACCGGCGATGGTCCGACAATTTCCACTATAGCCTCCTCGCAAAATATGGTAACTTCATTCAGCAGTACATACTATCTTGCAATTTTGTTGTTCGACTAGAATTTTGACCCAAAACACTTACATTAAGAACGTCACGTCCAAGTCAAATTTATCAAAATGTCAACAAGCAGAAAAACAAACGCGCTGAGCTTGGCATTTTACAAATGACATTTCCATAGTGTTGCCAATTGTAACTCAATGAAAGGCGTTTTCTTGCGTGATGACATAAGTCACGAAATTATCGGCAATTGACCTGCGACCCCATGGTAGCCAACTGACAATTTGACATTTGTAAATGAACAAATAACCCATCTTTCCGAGTTCCTTCTGCATTTTCATTTTTGGGACATAATTGGGACACACCATCTTATATTTTTTCATAGCTAATTCTTCATTCTGGAGCCCCAACTTCATATAGGATGACTGGAAATCTCTTTTCGGACATATTCTGGAAATCAGTTTCTCATTTACCAAAAATGAAAATGCAGAAGGAACTCAGAAAGATAGGTTATCTATTTACTAGCAGATGTCAAATTGTCAAATATCATTATTTTAACGGTCAATTGACTGCAATGTAGTATTATTAAGGAAGGACCACACAATGGGCAAAATCTAGATTATATAATATGAACTTCGAACTCAATAGAAACATTAATAATTACCTTCAAAAACCAAAGACACAAACATTCAAATAACAATTGAGTCAATAGAAATGAAACTTTCTATGTTTTTTACCACTTTTATTTGTAACTAAAGTTACTGCAATTTCGTCCTAAACGGACATTTTCAAACTTTACAATAAGTTTGTATAAGTTTGAAAATGTCCGTATAGAACGAAACTGCAGTAACGTTAGTTACAAATAAAAGTGGGAAAACAGAAAGTTTCATTTCTCTTTTCTTCATTATGATTTCCTACCACGTAGTAACGGATACATCCATCAATTTATTAACTATTGAGTCATTGGTAATACATATTCAGCAACCAATTTCTAACTATGTTTGTGTGATAAGTATTCAGTGGCGTTGTGCAGAAAATGAACAGGACTAAATCGATAAACTGATTATAAAATATATTTTCGTTCAATACAAATCTTAGCGCTTTAGCTCGCCTTGCACGACAAACGTTCGATAATGCAGATTCGTTGTAGATTACGATCAGATAGATTTTGTAGTTGTCAGTTGTAATATTTTAAAAAATTGGTTGAATTTCAGAAATGTTTTTGAAAATCATGAACTTTCAGTGAAATTTTTGACTCTTGTTTGTCAGCACTATCTTCAGAAAATCATTTATGACACATTCTTCTTGGCATCATTGCATCTCTGACCCTAACCATTCTTGAGCATTTCAAAAATAAAGTTCTAAAATACAGTTCTGTTGTTGAACTGGCCACCAAGATCGTGCGATTTGACCCCGATAGACTTTTTCGTTAGTCGCAGGTGCACGCGAATTAGCCACAAAAATTGGACGTTTTGGAATCACTTCACCCAGAGAAGCCGTGACGGACATTTGAACGATGTTATATTCCACACGTAATGGCATCAATAGGTCTTTCAAACGAATAAAAAATTTCGATGATATCTCACACACACTTTTTTTTATTTGAATTCAAAGATAGGAAGCGCCTAATGGAAGACTCAATGTATAATCTATATCTCTGATGCCCTCTAGTTTCGTTTTGATGCTAGCATAAGCTCTACCTTGCGGAAAAAGTTCTTCAAACGGAAATACTCGACTTTACGTGACCTTAAAAAATAAAGACAAAATTCCTAATTATTCAATCTTGTTTTCAGATACACTAACTTGAATATTCAGTTTGAAAGATGAATAAAAAAAAAAGTAGAAAATATGGAAAATTTACTTAGAGTACTTTTAAACTATTTAAATATTTTTTTGGCAAAACCACATCAAGAAGTTTGTTTATTGAGGGTATATTTAAAATATCATTTATACTATCAATATTCCACATGACTAAATGAAAATTATATTCAAGTCACACTACAATTTGAGATTTTACTGGACAGTTCAGTTCACAAAACCTACAATCTCAAGCGATTTGATAGTATTTTCCTATGAAACCGCTCAAGAAAGCTATTGTATAGCAAGATACAAATTACGGTTGTTTCGAAATTGCACGTATTGCGGTTGCGATTTTGTAAACTCTCCAGTGAAAATCTCACGATAAAGTGTTACTCCATTACGTGTTATTCAACAAGTATCGTCGAATTCCATCACATAAAAATTATATTTTTACTCCCCAAAAACATTTTCCTAATATCTGGTTGAAACCTTACAGAAATAATTCATTATAAAACAATAATGATAAAATATATCATCAAAATACAGGTGGAGGACATCAATTTTGGAGACTGAATATATTCCATGTGGAATAAATAACACAGCATCAATATCGTAGGATTTCGGTAATCTATTTAGATAAATTCCGAATTAGGTTTACAGACACGAAATGTTCAATATGAGCGCTCATTCGACAGTCCTCTTCTAGATAACAAGAATACCAATCAAATTCATCTGACTCATCAATAATATATAATAATATAAGTATGTTTTTTATTCAGGTATATATAATAAGAACCAGTATAGTTGTGAGAAGTAGTAAACTGATTCACTGCTCATTTCAATTTCAACTGGTTTGAGATTTACGAATAATTGATGTTTTGTAATTAAAACTTTATGCTGAAAAATTGAGACCATTACTTTTTCTCATATCGTTTTTTGTGTAGAAAAAATTTGAAGAGAATGGAATGATCAAGCGTACAAGTTTGTAAACTCTCGTCGAAGAGTTTATACTCTCATCCTAACGTTATGAAAGTGTTGTTTCGTTTTAACATCAAATATATTAATAATTATATGTCACACTTATTCAGAGAATATATAACACTGTCCACGTACATTTTGCTCCCGTAGATCATTAACAGTTACCAAGCACTCATATCTATTTTCGGTAGTTTTATCAGAATCAAAATAATATATTTTCGATCTATAAAATTGAAAAAAGTTCCTTTAAGTCGAAATTTCAACTTTCATAGTTTCTTTAGCTTGTGGTCACTACTTAGTCAGCTTGGATCAAGAGTTATTTGAGTTAGACTATTTCACTATTTACATTGGAATTGTGATAGAACTGGCCGACATTTGATAAAATTAGTTGTGAAATTTTCAAGTAACAATTTATGAGTTTATACAAAACTACGGCACGTACCGATAGACAGCTATTTCAGCCTATTGGGCTTCACCACAGTACGGGACATGCAGTCATTGATTGCAGACGAACTGCAGAAAACCAAGACAATTACTTCATGAAAATCACTGCGTAAATGCAAACGAAACATAAATGGAACCATTTATTGATGTTGATTTTTTTAATGAAATGCTATGTACATATGTTCACGATTTAAAAGTAAATATTTATTTATTTTTGTTTCATTTCTGTTTTTTTATAAATTTGCTGTTTTTATTGTTTGTATACCATTCAAGTATTTGTATTGACTTTGTTGACGAAATGCTGCCATTTCAGACAATAAAAAGTATCTACATTATATCATAATATATATGATTATATTCTATATAAAGTTCTCACATATTCTTATTTTTGGTTAATTACCGGTTGACCAACTTAAAAACGGAACATAGCCTTCATTTGCTTCGATTTTCAAATTTCAAAAAACAAATTCTGATTAACCTAAAGAATATATATCTGATCCTTTGATATTTATTCACTGAAAAAGATCAGCGATATTATTTAGTCTAATTTATTTAATTATATAAAAACTTATAACAATGGAAGCTGTAATAAAGGACCAAAAAGAGTTCGAATCTATTATACAGTAAGTAAAATCAGGCATTTGGCCCATCCTCATATTCAGATAATAACTTATCTTTCAAGGGCTCATAACCTTTCTGTAATCCACTTCCAAGCAGACTGGGCAGAGCAGTGTTCCCAAGTAAACGAGCTCTTAGAAACCCTTTCTTCACAAAAAAAGTACCCAGAGACCAAGTTCTATTCCTGCCCTGCAGAAGATCTTTCTGAAGTATGTTTGAAATATAAAATCGAAGCCGTACCCACTGTGATATTGTTTCGGTCTGGCAGCATAGTCGAAACGGTCCATGGGGCCGACCCCTCAAAAATCATCGAAGCAATAACGAAATATAGCGCTTTGAGTGGTGATGGTGGTGATAGCGTAGATAAAAACAAATCATTAGATGCTAGGCTGAAAATGCTCATTAACAAATCAAAAATCATGCTATTCATGAAAGGTGACAGGAACAATCCTCGATGTGGTTTCAGCAGGAAAACTTTTGGGTTGAAAAGGCAATTCTACAACTATCTCTAGAGACAATATTGAATATGCTTCCATCAGTCTTTTTATGAAGAGTAAAAAACAGAGGAGCCCCACATTAATATATTGTGACCCATATGTGAGTGAGTAGGCTAATGATTAGTACACAACTATGACACCATCTTAACTACTTTGCATTGCAAATATTGCTTATTTTAATTCTCTATAAATATAATCAATATTATAAGACCTCACGACAGAGTTTTACCTATACACATTCCTAAGAGAATACCTGTTTTGTAAAGTTGGATGTTATTTTTCAATGCCTGTCTCAACAAAAAATTTAACATTCAGTGTAAGTTGATTTCTATTGCACTAAGAATTCATTACATCCATAACCGAAATAATGTTGTTTTCTAACTCTTCTGATGTATTCCAGAAACTGTTATAGTAGTATCAGCAGATAGCATTACATAACTTTTTTTATACATTAAGGGAGATGATTTATGTAAATAGAGTATGTAGAATAGTGATGGCCCTAAGATTGACCCTTGCAGCAACTCTTGAAGGTCTTTGTATGAGTTTGCTATATCGTTTTGTCGATTATATAAATCTTGATTGGATAATCCTCTCTTCCATTTATATTGTTATGTATTGTGAATTAATTTCCTGTATGGATATGTAAATTCATTTAGTTTGAAGTTTTCAGCAAATGAATATAGAATAGTTCATTATTATCATTAAATTTGATTCAATTGTAGGGTTCCATATGAAACTTTTGATATATTGAGTGATGAAGACGTGCGTCAAGGTTTGAAGACATACTCAAATTGGCCAACATACCCTCAACTATATGTTGCTGGTGAGCTCATAGGGGGTTTGGACATTATCAAGGAAATGTTGGATTCTGGAGAACTTGGGCCAACCCTCAGATCTTGAACTTCATTTGTCTTATTGAGTAGTTTTAGTTCAATTTTCTCTTTCAGTATGAATATTTAAGTTTTTTGATATTCACTACTCTAATTATTCACATAGTTTCTTTATTCAATTTTATGTAAGCGAATAATGTTCTTGAAATATACTGAGGAATAAGGTTATAGGATGTATCCTTCTTGTAAAGTTTTTGTTCAGAACTTCCTTAAGTTTGCCAAAATTTCTTATTTTTAACAGCTGCTGGTTGTGAGAAATTAAGGTTGTTCCTGTAATATTACATGATGAAACCTTGATTAGAAAACTGTTCATTAAAAACTTCTGTAAGATCCATTATTTTCTTATTTTTAACCCTAATTATTCTTTACTTGGAATCACCTAAATATTACATAATGCCCATTTTTAGTGAAATTATTCGACCAAGTCTCTAAAATACTTTAGTTGAGTTGTTAGTAATAAGGTTGACCACAATTATTTAAGACTTTACTCACATTTTGCATCAATACATTTAAAATTGTTATGGTGCATCTATTAGATTTAAACTCTGTGATATATTACAAACTGAGCAATGTAGATAACTACAATTCTGTGTTCAAAACTAATTTTTTGGGATAATAAATATCAGTTAATTCAAAATTAGAAAATCTACTACCTGATTTTTATACTGTTACCTTCGCCTGAATTCTTTATATCATACTTCACTAACATAGGACTGTGACAAGTCATATAAGTACTGTGTACCATTGATTCATAAATTGTATAAAAAAAATAATTTTAAACTCAATCTTTAAGTAAGAAGAATGAAATGATATGGGAAATCTTTTTAAATTATTAGGATCAATTCATTGAAAAATCTTATGAATGTATAGGATGGATTCTTCTCTGACACCATTATTACTCAATTTTTATTTTCAAATATGTATATTAGGCTCTCGGAGATATTGAACTAGTACTAAGGAAACACCACATTACTATTCAGTTGTTTTTGATTCCAGTCCAAAAAAGTATTAAAATGTAAGCAACAAGTAGTTAAACATGTTATATAATAGTATCCATCCAAAAGTTAATCATTTTGACTTACGAATTACCTTATTATTTCATAGATAAAAACTAACATCAAAAAAAATCATATAATTTACAAAAATATTCACAATGTACAGTGTGAAAACAATTCAAGCTTTTAAAAAAGGTACTACTATAATTCGATTCTTTGCTGATTTTACTGTTGTCCACCTCCCTAACTTGTGCTCCCTACCAGCAGCGATTATTAGAAAACTACCATCAGACGAAAAACTCAAACAGTTAACAAATCCTTCCACTGGTATTTCCATTATCAATTTACACGTTTTAAAATTGTTTTCCAGTTTCCACAACTTTACAGAGCCATCTTGGGACCCTGAAGCCAACAAGTCTGTGTTGACAAGTGCTCCTAGAGCACTTACCCAGTATGGCTGATGATTACTGAGGTCTATGCCATGAGCATTTTCCACTACACATAAAGGTTTTTTCCTTAGCATACTCCATACGCACAGTTGTCCATCATCGCTACTCGAAACAAAATTTTCTTCATTTACAAGCCTGACGTTGTCTATGTTTCCCAAATGGCCGTTGAATATCAACTGCGTCTCTTCGGGAATCTTCCACATTCGAAGGTCTCGTCCCCCACTAGAAACCAGTCTATCCTTATAGAGAGTATCAATGGAAGTAATGATATATTCATGTCCAAGCAAAGTGTCTATATATGTCATCTCATCTAGATTCCAGATATACAGAGTACGATCCTCAGAGCTGGAATACAATGTATTGGAGTCTTTTTTGAAGCAAAGTCCTGTTATAGCACTCTTATGACCCAATAATTTCTCTATGAATTTGAGAGAATTTGGATCCCACACAAACACTTCCTTAGATTTCGTACCTACAGCTAAAAATTTGTTGTCCGATGAAATGGCTATACTTAAAATCTGACTACTATGTCCAAGGGGTTTTTCTGAAGTAAGATTTTTAACAAATGGTATAATGCCTTCTTTTTTATAACTTGTTAAAGAGTATTTGACAACTGCTCCGTCTTTACTTCCAGCAAACACATATTTATCATCTGAAGAAAGGCACAAACAAGTTATGGTGTTTCTTTGCTCTCGTGATTTCAATATTTTAATCTGTTCTTCATCTACACTTTTGTATTTCTCTGCAACCGTCAGCCTAAGTCGCCCTGTTTCTTTCAAATAATCTTCTTTAAGTCTCCTCGAGATAACAGTATCATCCACGTATTTGTCTTCAAGTCTATTCCGTTCCTCTCTTTCAATTTCTTCCAAATAAAGCTTCGCTAGTCGTACTTTCTTTTCTTGTGCAGTTTCGTTTTCGTCTTCGGATGAATAAGTGTCGGCTGTTTTGTCAGCATCCAAACCTTCATCTTCACTACTGGTAATTTCTTCATTTTTCTTGGAATTCTTGGCTTTTGTGTTAAGCTTACGTTTTTTATTATTTTTGTCGGTAGCGTACTTAGTACGTTTCACGCCATTCACTTGCTTGCCTTTAATAAAGAACGACATTCTTCAGATTAAGAACTAAAATCATAAAAATTGGAACCCAACTTCCAAATACGGACTATGCACGTGAAAAAATTATTAGGTTATATTTTGACGTATGTCGTTTCGTGACCACTGAATAGTATTGTATACTAGTTTATGTTCTGTGCCATGACACTGATGTTTTCATGACACTTCCTTAAATCAGGAAGAAGATAATTTAATGTGGCTAAATGCGCCGGACGGAAGCAATAGCCAAGATAACCTTTTCATGATATTGATATGTCTTTCTGTGTTTTTTTATTCTATATAAAATTGAATCAGATCTTCAACCCGATATATTCAATCAGTGTGTAATGAATGATTTCTATGCTCGATAATATTAAGGATTCTTACAGTTCTTGGGAAAGGAAGAACAAAATTTGTATTGAACATCATGCGGCATTTTTACAGTACAAATATTTTGTAAATAATCTACAGAAATCTACTCAATGCGATTTTCACAAAAGAATTGAACAATTTAAATTTCTGTACTTTCACCTTACTTATGTTGGTCCACCTGATAACAAGGATGAAATAATTCAAAAACTCCATCTCTATTTTTGCAAGATTACATGAAGTAAAATATTTTCACTGTAATTTGTCAGTCAGTAAATATCACTTTCTTCTGTAATTGTTTGACAAATTAATAGGCATATACTATTGTATTGTACATGTAAACCATGCTTTGTCAACAAGAGTCTTTCCTCTTAGACAATAAAGTACATTGATTGATTGATTAATTCAATCAAGAAAAAGAATTCAATATATTTGTTTCCGTGACACACTTATACATCGTTTCATTTTCTTGTCTTAGTTGCCTGAATTGATATCGTGAGGTTTCCGAATTTCAACTTTTAGGACTAGACCAATAAGACGTCAATTTACTGGTCTAGTAAGCCGAAGTGAAGCAAAGACCATAAAAAAAGAGAATAAGAAGACGTCAATTAATCACAGGTTACTTCTTCAATAAATGAATACTGATTACACTAACAAGTCAGTGTTTTGTGAAAACAGAACAACTCCCGAGAATTTACCCTTACATAGAGAGCCAAGTCACATACGAGTAAAATATATCTGTGACCAAGTTGTGACTGTTCAAGATACTCCAGAATTTTCTACTTCATCGCTGAGTTTTGTAGTGCCACCTAGCGGTAATAGTTTCTGGATTTGTTGTTCTTCGTTTAATTAGGTGAGTCCAAAGTCGTGTATCCAGCCACGATCCCTGAAATATTCAAGGGGACTACGGCGTGAGTGGTCTCTAATTTATGTGACTTGAACCTAGATGAAAACATTATTAGACACTCGAATATCGATTGCTTAATTCATTTATTGTAATATTCGTTTACATAAGTATAAATTTCAGCTCTTTATAATGACTAGAAGGTCTGAAATTTTTCTCAATACATTTTATTAGAGCTAATGATACCCATTACATTACCCATTCTTCAACTGCTTTGCAGGAAAAAAATGTTGATTCAGTTCCTTGTTCCGCAGTCATCTGTACGATGTTTTTGATGGAGAGAATGAGTGAATTCTACACCATTGAATTAGAGATATGACGCCTCTCAGAGATCTATTCTTGGTCCCCCTATTCAAAATATACTGCAGTCAACTAGAGAAATGCAATATTGCAGTAAACATTTCTATGCCGATGACACCCATATCTATTATTTTTTTTGAAGCACACAGCATCAGCATAGACGACGCTAAAAATCAGATCACTCATAATCTCAACAGGTCATTATTATTTGCTGGAGATATGTGTGCTCAATGATTAAAACATAAGTAGTATTTGGTCCAAAAAATCGGAAAATATGTACCTAAATAACTCATATTAGCATAGACTCTAGTAAATTGAACATCGTTAATAAATAAACAGATATTGAGACAGAAAATATTTTTTTGGGAAACATTTCCAAAATCAGCAATCTGATGTCCTGGTTGAAGTGCATCTGATATTTTCAGTTGTTTGACATTGAAGCCATTTTCAAGAAGCTATGACACTGAGGTCTCAATCTGCATACTCCTCAGGTAATGACACACTATGGGTTTTGTGACTTAATGCTGGGGTCTTAATCTGCCTATTGTGACACATTCGATGCTTGGGAGTATGCAGATTGTAGGGCCCTACAAATATATGTATTTTTCTTGTTGTTCAAATTCTTATTGAGATCAGATGCATAATTTACTCATCTGTTTTTTAATATTTTTTGTTGCTAGGCCTTGTAACTGACTTTGAGGGTTGAGTGGTAGAGCAAACCTTTACTGTTCTACACTGCAGTATGACACTTCAAAAGTACTATAAAATATTCTTATATACACTACTTAAAATAATTGAATAACTGAATTTTATGAAACCACACATGTGATTTATATACATGCACATACATTTATATTCATGCAACTAAAAACAATTTCACAAACTACACCGGAAACGATTTGAGATATTACTATGGATCTTCAAGTAACCACTGAGTCAATCAGAAAAAACAAAAACAAAATATAATTACATTTGAAGGTTCTCCACCTTGATCTTCATAAATGATGGCCACAAATAAATACTACTTTTTTTCACCCACACAACCCACTAAATAAAACATAAAATATATTAAATAACTTTGCTTTATTTAGAAATGTGTATGTCGAGTACAATAGAAAGTTGCAGTTAATCCAAAATTATTCGTTCGGAGCGTTAAAACTAAAATGAAAGCTTAAACCAAACACAAAGCTTTCGAAAAATCTAGCACATCCCCCTGTCCTCCGTCCGCTTCCTGGGCGCCGCCTTGATGATGTTATCCACACGCAGGATCATCTCAGCAGCTTCAGAGGCAGACACCAGCACCTGCCTCTTGACGACAAAAGACTCCGTGATGCCGAGCACGCTCATGTCGCCCACTTCCCCGCGTTCCATGTCCAGCCCCAGAGTGCTCTTTCCGGCATTGTGTGCGGCCCTAAAAACCAGTATATATCAGTAACTAGGAAAAATAATTGTATTACAACATCGGTGTTGAATTTTACAAGAAGATATTTGATGCAGATACTGTTTTAAACGGAATTGATCATTTCAGATAAGAGTTTTGAGTACCTGTATTTTTCCTATGTTGGGTACTCTACGTATTTGACGTTAGTACCAGTTGGCATATGTATACAGTGCTAGTCAAAAGTCCCCTCCCCCCCTCGTATCTTTGGAACGGGTATACTTATAATAATGAAATTTGGAGGGTGGAAATAAACGGATGTAGGCTTCTTAACTGGTCATAACAGGTGACGCAATAGTCATACATGACGTCACAAGGCCACTGTGACCAAAAATTTTAAATGGGACCNATACAATTTGTATTCTATTACTTTTTTTCAACTCTTTAAGTGCTCTTTCTTGAAATAGGAAACCTAATATACATATCTTATGAGTATAACAATAACACTAAGCACAATGAAATATAAAAAAAATGTATGTGAAAAATTTCACATTTGAACAATTTGAGATTCAAATTAGCATGTAGCCAGACAATGAACATTACATATAAAGATTTCAGTATCATATGTTGAGTAACATTTAAATAGATAATGAAATATAGGTACATATATACATTAAATTATTATCAAAACAGTGATATTTGTTTTCATTATAAATACAAACACCCTACTGAAAAATTAAAAACAATAAATGAAAAAACAATAAATGATAACCAACTAATTCCACATAACTATACAATTTGTATTCGATTACTTTTTTTTTCAATTCTTTGAGTACTCTTTTAAAATCTTTCGAAATTGATATTATTTTTATTTCTTCCGGTAATTCATTGAACTCGTGGACGCCCTTAAAAAATAACGAATACATGGTACTCCTGAATGCCGGTCTGTTTATAGGTATATTATTGGAATGAATGTTTATATTAAATTTGATGTAATCTTTAAAATATTCTGGTGCCATTCCATTTACAATTTTGTATACTAGCATACTTCTTCTGGGAGTACGGCGATTTGTTTTCTAGATTTTGTAGATTTTGTAGTTTTTGTAGCATATTTAATTTATTGAGGTTGAATGAAAATAATAATGACGCACAATAATCAAAGTGTGGTTGAATAATAATATCGTAAACTGTTACTTTGGACTGCATTGACCAATTTTGTGCTATTCTACTGATAAAATATAGTTTTTTCGATATTTTTTTATGTATATATTCAAAGTGATTGTCAAAATTCCAAAAATTATCCAGTTGAAAACCAAGGTATTTGAAGAACAGTAAAAAACAATAGACAAAAAGTCGTGTACACTTCTGGTGCCAACAGAATGATGCAATTTAGTATGAAAATTCTATTGTGTATATTCATAAAAAAACCAAACTTTTGAATTTAGAATGCATTAGCTGAAGTTATAAGGTTAAAGGTTGTGAAAAACAATTATATAATTATTGAGACTATAAATGAAAAATAATATTTTAAAATATTCACTGAACTATAAAGCCATATTATCTTGATTAGGGATGCATGATGTAATGATATTATCTCTCTAATGTTAAATTGACTATTAATTTACAGGTTATGTATAATTTATAATGAGAGGATTTCATATGAACATCCCCCTGTCCTCCGTCCGCTTCCTGGGCGCCGCCTTGATGATGTTATCCACACGCAGGATCATCTCAGCAGCTTCAGAGGCAGACACCAGCNTATTTTGAAAACTTTTAATATGTACATTTTATTTTATATTTTCAACAAGTTTTGTAAATAGTTGACATCCAACTCTAGACTTATATATTTGTATATTGTATGCTCCATCAATTACTTGATGTTTTTATGTGTAAATACCTGACTATTCAAACTAGTATATTTATCTTATCTTTATGACTACTATTGGACTTATCTCATGTCATGTAAATGATTAATGAAAATTAATAAAATTATCTATCTATCTATACAACAAAGATTTTGTTACCTGTTCAATGAGATCGCATGTTCCCAACTTGACCAGCTCTGGGTGGTCGAACGTAGAGACAATTTCTCCTCCAGTGACGAGCGCCAGACGCTCAATCCCATCAAAATCAGCATGTTCGATCGCCATAACGCCCGCATCGGCAAACAGCTGCTCGGGGTAGTTGTAGATGAGTTGCCTATTGATGAAAACGTTGGCATTGTGTTTCAGGATCTTGTTGACTTTGTCCTTCATCTTTTCCTTTTCGGCGGACTCCAGCTCAGCTATTTTGGCCATTGAGTCAACTTTGATGTGGGAGCCGAATACTTTAATTTTGTCAGAGTCCATGGGAGTGTTTGCAATGAGTATTTTGGCGTTCTCCACTGTTTTGGGTTGATGGACTCCTGGTTTTTTGTCCAATAAGAAACCTTCGTCTAGAAATGAGTCTTCCAGAGTACCACCTGGAATAAAATTACAAAATGAATGAGGTACACACTCATTCAAATTACAGGTATAGGAACAGTGGTGAAGAAGGGATTTAGAAAAAAAGTATAACATGAATGTTGGGAAGGGAAATGGAGAATTATACCATTAGAAAGTCTTTATTCAGAAATGTATGATCCCAATATAGAATAAGTGCAAAAAAAGCAATAATTATAATAATAACGAATACTACATAGAAGTTAATAGTTTTATATTAATAATATCATACCAGTTTTCTTGATAAGCTGGATAGCTTGTAAATCTCCTGATCCCTTTAACCTGAGTACCGCATCAACGGATAGTTTTGCAAAATGTTCCTTGTGTTGTGAGAGAATTTTCGAGCTCAGAGTTGTCCTGGCAATGTTCAACAGATCTTCACGGAATTTTTCGAGATTATCGCTGTTATCCATTGAAGCATCCCGCAGGGCTTTTCTGGCTACATCAACAGCTTTCCTCCAACCAGCAATAATCGTTTGGGGATGAATTTTCTGTTCGATCAGTCTTTCTGCTTCTCTAAGAAGTTCAGCAGCTGAAAAAACACTGTATTGAGAACTGGTGCTTGGGATGATAATAATAATAATATTTATCCACCATTTTGGATACATCAAGTATATATTGTAAGTCAATAGACTTAGAGATGAAAAAATAATGATAAAGTATGTGACACACTCAAAGTATATATAATTAAATACATATTTATAACATAAAAAATGCTTAAATGGCTATCAATTGAAAATTATTGTAGTTTCATTAGTATTTCTCCAATAGCAAGATTTTAACTTAGATGGGTAGGTATTTTATTGATATTTTAGGTGAATAAAACACAAATAAAATAAGTCCACATTACATTTCACAAACTATATGAAATATAGAGTAATGAATCCAGGACAAGCATTTTTTTCAAACACTTCATGTCCCGAAGAAGTTAGAGGTCCCAGTTTTACTTTGTATCTGAATATTGTACTGCTTAGTCATTCGTTTGCGTTGCATTGGATAAAAAAGATACATTCTCTTCAGTAGAGTAGACACAATTTGTTATCAAGAGATATTTCTGATATGACAGGAAAATAGAATACTGTACTGTACTGATACAAAAATACTGACTTTTTTAGACTTAATCTACTTCCTAATTTTCGTGGCTATTTTCTCCTGAATATAACTACAGTGTGCATTAAGCTTCAATTCTTGATTTAATACCACTCCCAGATATTTGAAAGTTGCAACCTTCTTGATGATGACATTATTAATATAAATATTCAATGGCAGCTGTTCATCTTGCAGTTGTCTTAAACAATATTTGCTACCTATTAACATGCATTTTGTTTTATTAACATTTGACTTGAGGCGGTTGTCACATAACCACTCGTTTATATTTGATAGTTCCTTATTCGAACATTCTGAGATTTCATTAGGTGTCCCAGAACAATACAACATGGTGTCATTGGCAAACAGTTTTATCTTACACCTTTTAACATGCATCACAATGTCATTTATATACAGCAAGAATAGCAGTGGACCCAATACTGACCCTTGAGGGATTCCTGAATTTACATTTGAAGTACTGGATGTCACTTGATTATATTTAACTAGCAGCTTCCAATATGTGAGGTAATTAGTGAACTATTTTCCTCCAAAAAAAGACTTTCATTAAATATTTGAAACAAGTGAATTTTGAAAGTTTATTGCCAAGTTGTTTGTATGTGCTCTAACCAGTTTGAAGCCTGACCTGTGTCCTTTAATCAAAGGGTCGATGGAAGTGAAAATGAAAATGTGTTGAGTTTCATTTTCCTTCACCATTAGAGTGTATCTTTTGAACCATGTCAGTATTCATTTGAATTTGATTTACTCCATGCACCAAATTTGTATAATTTTTTTTTCAAATCATGTAAAGTAGTATCGTTGACAAAAGCAATGAGGTGACATATAAGAAGAGAGATCATTTACATAGATTATGAATGAACAAGGGCCCAGAATCGAGCCTTGGAGAACTCCACATGTAATTGATTCAAATTGAACACATTGTTTGAATCAAGTATCCCATATTGGTATCTCTTTATCAGATATGATGAAAAAATACTTTGGAAATACTTTGTTTCTTGTTTTCTTCATCACAATAGGCAGCATGTTACGAAATGTGATTACATAATGGGGAAACCTTTTATAAAGTGACATTCTGTGTTTCGGAATTCTCAATAGGTTACTGAAGCTTGTATTGTGACCATATTCATAAAAGCAAAGGATATCCAAAGTGTTATACATTTCGATCATAACCTTCAAAAATTCGGGCGGCCCCATGGGCTGTGCAAAATTGGCCCAAGTAATTGTAAACTATATACGTTACTACCTGCAGTGAAATATATAACTGAAATGTAGATGTAGAAGTATGACTGTCTTATATCACATAGGTAAGCATTGGTCGACGCCCAGCATTAGTCCAGGAAACAGCAAACCGAGATCAATTTTTGGAAAAAGTCACTGGAGCCCAAATTTGATGAATAAGGTGGCTGCTGAGGCATGATTATGATGTTGTTTTTGATCAAAAAATTATGAACAAGCAATGCCGAATAAGCAGGTGCATTATCTTGATCCATACATTGTTTTTCCGCAATACCCTGTTAGAGTATTGGCACATTGGATGTTTCTTTTCCGCTTGGGGCTTTGTTCATGAGATGGAGCTGACTTTTAGACGAAGATTTGGAACATGCAGTTGAGCCATGTTGAAATCAATCGAGTGCCTAGCGCTTTGCTGTTTGGGTTGGAGCTTTCCTACACTGATGAGAGGTAATACCTCGAAACCGGTCTCTAGGTGATCAACTCGAATAATTTCAGCATGGTCCTGCTGCTGGATTAACGAGAAACCATCTGCAAGACTAACCTTTGTGGTGTGCCAATATTCAGTGTGGTATTAACAGGGGAAGTTGTTGTTTTCCGGCAGACATTTACCAGAACCTACAGTGTAGGCAGTTTGGAGTATGGATATTTTGAGATTTTATTTCACGGGTGGAAGGACTTCGGTCGATAGCCAGTTGAGCAAAATTGTAATTTTGTTCAATAAATTACAATTATTATTTAAAAATATGTACATACACCTCTTCTCGATACAGTCCTCTGACATATATATTTAATTGTGCTTCTAATCATAAAGGCTTTGCACATGTCAAAAATGTGGTTATATACTGAAATTCATTGTAAGTAATATACAAATTGTAATGCTCTAAGTCACTACTTAGTGAAAATCAATAACAGTATTCATAAGAATTACAAATCTTCACAATATAGACTTTATTTCCTGGTGAATTAGCAGTGTTCACATTCATTAATTTTTCATCATACAAGTGAAATTTTAAATTCCTCTACATATTTTTACCCAGTGATCAGGAATGCGAAATTAAAATACAAAAATTACAAAGAAAATTCAACTCTGTCGTAGCCTGAACAAGAATATTCAATATTGTTACTCTTATTGTAGATTCTCTGAATTATATTCAACTCACCTAAAACTGTGACAGATGTGGTTCCATCACCTACTTCATCATCTTGCACTTTCGACATGTCAACGAGAATTTTTGCAGCAGGATTATCCACACCGACAGATTTGAGAATGGTGGCACCATCGTTAGTTACTTCTACAGATCCTGCATTTCTTCCGCTGGATACTAGAATCTTATCCATTCCTTTGGGCCCCAAAGTACTTTTTACTAGATCCCCCATAGTTATAGCACCTATAAAACTGCTCAGTCTAGCAATTTCTGCCTTATCTTCTTCAGCTTCATTTTTTAAAATTCTAACTGGGTTCAGGGAGACCTGAAAAACGTAATGTGATCACTACTTTCATAGATTTATTTTAGATTTTCTAGAAAAAGCACGTGGGTATGCCCAGTTTATACATTTTTTGACACACCTGCTTCTTTATTGAAAGAAAAGGAATGGAGATGGGAGGTTTTCACAGCATATTCGCTAAATTTGGGTAAATGTGTGGAAAAACATTAATTACATACCATTTTCGTTTGTTTTAGGATTTTCTTTTAACAATTTTATAAAAATATACCGTGACAATTTTTTTTTGTCGAATTACCGACAACGAAATGAAGAGAGTAATAAACCGTGAAAAATATCTTCTTCTCAATTTTGAAAAATTTTTTTGAGATGTGTTCCAAAAGTCGCTATAAATGGAGTTGCTTGTTAATAAGTACAGAAAGACTTTCATGGTTGACCATGAAAGTAAAAAAACCACAAATATAATGAAACTTGAGTATCATTATATTTGTGGTTTTTTGGGATTATGGATTGGATCATCGTTCGATCTGTTTGGATTTGGGTTCGAAGTTCTATTGACACGGTGGTTGTCATCTCATGCCATCGTCATATATCAATATATTTTATCAGATCAGAAATGATGAAATGTGGCTAACGACATTTTCTATTGCTGAAACTGATGGATTATTATATTGAATGTACACATGTATTTCTTATGTGTACAACAGTTGAGCGTCTCGTGACAGTTACAATTTGTGTTGTAAGAGGAATTTTCCGTCAGCTATGTTATATATTGATCCACCAACACACCTGCTTTGTTTTTTGCAATTATTATAATAGTTTTACGGAAGCATTAAAAGGCCACGACAATTATTTTTTTGTATTAACAACTTTGAACTCGGCTCCATGACTTTCCGACATTCAACTCGGAATCTCTGTTTCAAACTCGAAATTATGTGAATTGCGAGTAAGGTCAAATCAGATCGAGAAGGAAGGAGTGTTAGGAATCACACGTTAAAAGGTAAAACCTCGTTAGTCCTTAGCTTGCACAAGTTTCTCAACTTCTGAGAGTTGTCGTTCGTATGGGGGCGACAGTTAATTAACGGAAAAACAGACTTTCAAACAGATTTTTTTAAAACAGAAGAGAAGAAGTTGCGTTGTGTTCAAACTTGGACTTTTCAAATATTTTTCCAAATAATTGATTTTCTGATTGATTCGACCGTTACTTGATGAAGATCCATAGTAATTTCAAAAACTACACCTCACGATTTGATCTCCACAAATTTTATTTGAAAAATATATCACAACATGTTTCGCTAGCAAGTGATTTATTAATAAATGATAAACATGTGATATATTTTTTTCAAATAAAGTTTGTGGATATTAAATCGTGAGGTGTAGTTTTTGAAACAAATAATCAATATTCATTTTGCATCAATATATTCAAGTTTCACTTGTATCTTCAAACATTCTTTACAGTTCATTGGAAGTAATGTTCTTGTTGGATTCGAAATATTTTAAAACACATTTGCGTGATTCATAGTACTTCATAGAAAGTGAGATTAGGATTATTCACCTCTAAAACATGAAGCTGGGTTCTAACTATTGCAAAACATTTGTAACACATTAGCTCAATTTCATTATTAGGTGTTTAAACAGTTAAATTGGAATTAATAAAAATGTTTTATAACACGTTGGGTTTGATTTTGTTCTTTCTATCACGTGAACTTATTTTTGGCGTTCAATGACAATAGTAACCATATTCATTACTTTCAGAGATATACTAAAGCAAGATGTTGTAAACAGAGCAGCGTATGTTGAAACGCTGGTTTTATCAGTCAGGTTAATAGTTTTGACAGAGAATATTTAATGAATCTTGGCTGGAAGTTGCGAAATGATATTTTGATACTTTATTAGCAGCGTTTTTTATTACTGTATATCTCTGAAAAAACTGTTTATATCACTAAAATCAGAATCGTGGCATTGTTGCTGGCTGTAGACACTTGTCAATATTCTTCTTATAGTTTGAGTTGAGGAGTTGAGGTTAAAGGTTTGCTTAAGTTCAAGTTTGTAGGTTAAGTTTAGAGTTTAGATTGCTTTAAAGTTTTCCATTTTCGAATCAACCCCAATGATCTGATATAAATTATTCAAAGTAAGGAAACTCCAGTGTTCATTATCCCTCTGGTATTTTTCAAGTCAAATGAGTGTGTCGAATATTGTTCAGTATGTGGTCGTCCGAGGAGACCTCATCAAAGAGCTGAAATGGCCTTTGGGGGCTGTTATAGCTCAAGCGTGCCACGCAGTGACCGCGGTGACTCATCTGTTCTACCAAGATGAACACACACAACAGTATCTCCAAGATCTGAACAACATGCACAAAGTGGTGTTGGAAGCTCCTAATGAAACTAGCCTGATGGCTCTGAAGGACAAACTCGAGGAGAATGGTATAATGTACAAATTGTGGATTGAGCAACCCGAGAATATTCCGACATGTCTGGTGGCAAAGCCTTACCCAAAAGAGGACGTTCAAAAATATTTCAAGAAATGCAAGCTTTTCAAAGACTCCTGATATCTTTTTACAGAGTGTTATGTGATGGACAGAAATATTTCAAAATATTGAAGTATGTTAGGTTAATATAAATATAATATACTTATTATGAATATTACAAAATGATATATTTATACCTATCTATTCAAGAAACCATTAGGAGTTTTTCTTATTTTTTAATAATGTTGTTACATGAATTGACTGAAAATTTGCTATTTCCGATTCACAAACCAAAGTGTGTTAAATAAAATGGTAAATTTTTCAATTCATTTAATAAAATTAGTGGTATATAGAGACATCTGTTATTGAAAGGAATAAAGTAGTAAAATTCTCTATTAAAACTTTGTATATAGAACCTAAGTCTATATACAAAGATTAAAATTAGTGGATGTTAGTGGTATACGGAGACATCTGTTATTCAAAGGATTGAGATTTGGAACAGGAAATTAAGAACTAATGTCTATCTGATACATGGCAATTTTTCATTTAGGCAGTTTTGATTGCTCGAGAATGTCATATAAACCCAGCTAGGGTCTACCAAAAATCAAATAAATACCTTCAGTATCATAATTAAAGTCATCTTACTTCATAATAGTCATAATAATAATATTTATTCACAATTTGCAATGTATAAGGTATATGTGGTAAGTCAAAAATGATTAATTAAAAAAATGGGTTAATTTCAATATTGTAACTTTTTTAGTGCTTGTGAAAAAAATTGTTATACAAATTTTATGTACCCCCTTTAAGGAGCTGTATCTTAACAAGGGATGCTCCAATGACATTTCTTTATATGAAAGATCCTATCTTTTTTTTCGATGAGGAATCACCTCCTTAAATGTTTCACACTTATTTAGTTACACCCTGTATATGAAATAATAATTGAAATTATGGCAATTTTGCTTGCTATAGTCATATGTCAATGTATAAAATAAGATGAAATCACCAGTCATAACACTGAAACTAAAGCAAAAAACAATAAGTGTGAACAAAAAATGAAGAAGTTTTTTAAATGGGAATCTCTATTTCGTCCTGGCTGTCCAACGTTAGACTTTTTGATCATGGAAACAAAAAAGCGGAACCAAAATGACCATTATGTTTGACAATTACCTGTAGTTTAATCTTTCTATCTAGTTTCAATAGTAAACGGTGATCACTACAAAGGAAAGAGAATTAAAGGTAAGGTTATCAGCCAATGAAAGCAAATTGGAGGGTGCAGTAGAAAAAAGTTTGTTTATGGCCCATCTAGTTCTTTATTAATTCACCATTTCAACTGTTTTACCTTTAAATGTCTTTCAGAGAAAACATTCAGTGTCACTCAAGGCCATACCCGATTGTACCTAATTGTTCCTCTTATTATAATCCCGAGACAAAATTACGTACGGGTTCCCGTTTTAAAACCACCTAGACCTTCAAGTTATTTGATCAAGATAAAATATATGTTCTCTGTCAAGTAATCAAGACAAAAACAAATATCATGTACATTTTTTCCTTATCGTTCAAGTTTATTACCAGAGTTGATAAATGTCATACCTGGTCGTGACTTTTTCTGTTTTTTCATTTCCGTGCTGGAAAATATGGGAACCCGCTAGAAAATAGACTGAGAAGCATCTGAAGGAATATTCTCTGCGAAGAAACTTGCACAAATATCTCTGGGATATAATTCAATGTTTGTCGCCAAGAAAATAGTTGTTTCCGGCAGGAATTTGCCTAGATCCTACTAGGTATATCAGAAATATTATTTCCTTGAGAAAGTATAGTTTGCTTGGAAAAAGTTCCGTGAAAGGTTTCCTGAAACCTTTTTTTGAACATTGTTTTAAGCAGATTATACAGAATTGTTTCACCTCAGAAAAATCAAACGAAAGCATTGTTTTTAACATTTATTTATAAAAAATAATACTACGTTATTCTTACGGTTAGGAACTTTCTACTTCCACTTGTTTCCTTTCTTGGGACGGCAGCAGCAGAACAATAATGATGGCCACTGAAAAACCAACCCATTGATTAAACACCAGTTATTGTATAAAGTGTCTTAACACACTTAGTAAATATACAATATAAAAAGCAATAAAACGAAAAAAGCGTCAACAAAAAGCTTCAAATATTTTTTATTCCTCTTGTTATGACTCAGCCTGCATCCAATGCAAATTGCTAGCTTATTGAAAGAACTATGCAGGCTATTCAGTCTTTCATTTGCATCTATAATAGAATAAGAACTTTGTTCTGGATGTTGAGAAGTTTCATTTTTCGCAGCGTTTTACTTTTTGACTCTTTTCCACTTCCAGATTTTCCATTGCTTTTGAAAATTATCAGAACATTGAAAAAGCGTATGTTATCAAATGCAAAAAATATTCCAACCCAACTATCAAATACAAGAATACAATAAACTAAGGAATATAGAAGAAGAAATGTAATGAACAGTAATTCAGTGTAACTGAGAAAGTTTCATTGAAAATTCAGTAACAGTAATAGTAAAATGGCGGAAAAGAGACTGTCAAAGAGACGGTACTTACATGCATGTATCACAGCATAAATGTAAAAGAGATAATCACAAACGCTATCCATTATGTAACCAGCAGTATTAGAACCTGCCATTGCACCAAGCCTTCCAAACATTAGAGATACAGCTAAAGCCATTCCTCGAATTTGAGTCGGATAGAGATCAACGATGACGGCATTGACCACCCCTATACCAGTAGCAACCAAGAGAAAAATACCTAAAAAGCAGTTATTTCACTTCGTGACCATTTGCAAATGATAAGATTGGAAACGTCACAAGTAACAAGATTGAAAATCAAACGAGCCAAACAAATGTTCTTACCAAGGGTAACTTGGATGTAAGTGTATCCACTTAATAATTGAGCGAAAACTCCGGATGTTGTGGTTACCAAAAGAAATCCCATGAGGAGCCGTCTGGCACCTATTATATTGATGAATGTGCCGATGAGGACATAACTGACAGCATAACTCGCTCCAATCAGCAGGGACACAAGAAATACTTCTTCGTTGACATCATCTCGACAAACTTTTGACTGAAAAGTAGAAAACAATTTAACTGAAGCCGAGGGATTCGTGATTAGCATGAATTTCATTTCTTTGTTACAAACACATTTGATGAAGGTATTTTTTCTGAAAGATGTACGTTTCAAGGATGTTTTCGAATTTAAATTGGTTGCTGAATTATCAAAAAAAGTATTGAAATATTAGTAATCACTCAAAAGTATTCTTCAAATTATTTGTGAGACTATTTAACTCTTTACCAAAGGGGAAGAGAGAAAAAGTATTATAAAAATATTGATGAAAACAACATTGAAAATATCAAAGATACCTAAAAAAGCATGTTATGTATATGAAGTAGGTCAGAGAAAGAACAGCGTTACTTCTCCTCACAACCTTGATAAGCTTTGAAGTAATTACAGTAGTTTTCTGATTGATTCGGCCGTTACTTAATGAAGATCCATAGTAATTTCATAAACTACACCTCACGATTTGATCTCCACAAACTTTATTTGAAAAATATATCACGACATGTTTGGCTAACACAGTAGCTTCATCAACAGTGATTTGAATACTCAGATCCATAGTAATTTCATAAACTTCACCTGTTGATAAAGCTACCGTGTTAGCGAAACATGTGATATATTTTTCAAATAAAGTTTGTGCATATTAAATCGTGATTTGAATACTCAGATCCATAGTAATTTCATAAACTACACCTGTTGATGGAGCTACTGTGTTAGCGAAACATGTGATATAATTTTCAAATAATATAATTCGATATTAAATCGAGAGGTGTAGTTTATGAAAGTAGTTACAGTATATTGAACTTCAATTTGAAATTTCGTTTGGCTTGAAAATAATCCATTGCATACGCGGCTTCTCGTCTCTAAGTTGAAAAGTACATCTTCAATATCAATTCATTACATCCTCAACAGTTGGCTTCAAAAGATATGCGTTATATTATTTTTCGTCCTGGAAGTGGTAAAAATTTCTTCATCAAGGCTCCTTCTCATCCATTGAGAAAAGCCAAAAAAATCTCTAAGCAGTTGAAAACATAGAATTTGGCTTTCAGTTTTAGCCGACAAAAGTGAAACATTTCGGTTTAAGTTTGATAAAAGTGGAAAGCATAACATTATCGTAAAAACAACTAATCATTGGACTATACCAGCCCATGGTTTGAATCAAAATAATAAAATGAGTGGGATATACCTAATCAGTACAAACAGTACAAAAATGGCTATTGTTGTCGCGGGGAAGGAAGGTACTCCTAATCTATAACCTGAATTAGAAAACTAATTTGAAAAATTTCAATACTTCGGTTCGGAGGCCTGATGAAAGAGGTTTAGTCGCGAGGGCTAGAAAAAACCTTTCGGTTTGGACGTAATTTGAGATAAGTCAATTCGGTCGAGGTAGGTCTCAGAAAACTGCGGAAAATTATAAAATCTGTGGGTGAACCCTGGTGTTCGTAATAAGCTTGGGTAAACTCGGAATAAGTCATGTAGTTTCGTGAAATTCAGAACCGTCATGAACGGAGTCCGGAAGCAAGAAATACTATTAAGGGAGAGTCGTATTCGAAGCTGGATTGTATGTTGAAGAATACAAACGAATAGGTATTACGAAAGTTATAAGAAGATTTTGCTTTTTGGAGGGAAAGGTCATCATTATTGCAGTGATTTTTATGATAAATTGTGGGCTATAAATGTTGCCTTGAGTGATATATGCTGTCCTATAATGTATTGATTTGTCTTTTTTGCCTATTAGATAAATTTACAGCATTTTTTGTTTTGTTTCAATTTATGATATCTACCTGGAATTTTAACCGTATTTAACTGATATTCTGCAGTATTTTAATGTTCAGTTTTTTTTTGAATTTGACGAAATTCAGTTGTTTCATAAAGATTTTACTCCTCTATTGCAATACAGTAATTTAAATAGGAGTTTGGTTGATGAATTGATGGATGTAGCCTTTATTACGAGATAGGAGATCATCATGAAAAATGAGAAATGAAACTTCCTATGTTTTATACCACTTTTATTTGTAACTAACGTTACTGCAATTTCGTCCTATTCATGTAAGGACATTTTCAAACGGATACAATAAATTCCATTGTATGTAATCAATCACCCCATCTTCTACAATAAATAGTAACAAAAAAAGGAAGAAATGAGAGAAAGAACCAATACACAAAAAAATAATGAGCAGAGCAAAGGCTAGGTGAGAACGAATTGAAAGCTAATTGAGCTTTGATCTTATACAAATACGAAGGTTATTGAGTGTCTTGATAAAGAAGTTATTAATCGGACACAGCACTCAAGAAAATGACAAACCATAGACACGTGTTTTGATACTTACTGCTAACGCTCTTGACAAAGTATATGTTTTCGCGGCAGTGGTTTCATTGTCCATTCCGATATCGTAACGAACAGCTTCACACATTGTAACCTCCTCTAGTGGGGCTGTTTTTCCATAATCGGCCATGCTGTTCAAAATCTGAGGATACCACATAATGATTGCAGAACTCCTGGAATCCATGACAAAGTAAAATAATTTAGAGTCGGTTTATCTGAAGAAATGAGGTGGATTTATTCAGCATTAACCTTCATCAACTTTCAACTTTTAATTATACATTTTTTAAGATATAATAACGCATACACACTCATCATATTCCACCATAAACAACAAGGTCAACCTTACCTTGTTTAGTGATATCAATTACCTTTGGTTGAATTTTTCGGGCTGTGAAAACTTTGAACAATTTGAAAAAACTGAAAAGTTATCCCAATTTTTTTTACTCCTGTATAGAAAAAGCGTAGTTCAGTAAACCTATTAGGACGAAATAAAAATACATGCTCCTCAAGGATATTTGGTTGAAAAATTTCTTCATTTCATTTGTTCGAGTAGGAAATATTTGTTGTTGAATGCACTCATTTTTTGGCATAAATTTTACTAAATCTTCTGAACCACCCGATATAAATCCAAACAACCCTATATTTTTGAGAAGCACTCTGCCCAAGAAATTCAATCGAGTGAAAATATCTGGAATATTCTATCCAAAAAAAATATAAGTATGGTCTATCTCACATTTATTGGACACCCTGTATATTAGTAATAATTACTTAAACATAATTTTCATCAATGTCTACAACTTTTTATTAGAAAATTTTTTTTTGTATCTCCAATAGGGAACCATTCCACCTACCTATCGTTGATACACCCTGTATGTCATTTTTAGAATTTTGATACAATTGCCAGCGTGTGCATGAAAAAACAATTTACAGTTTTATTATGAATACTTGCCTTTTAGAAATGAAAATGGAAGTATTTTTTACGAAACACCTACATAATCTGTGGTTTTGGTGTATAAATTGCTCTTCTGGAAAATCGATAGGTAGATTATTTTTTATAGTGAAAGTAGAAGTGTAAATGAAGATGACAGTTTTTGTTGCACCAATCCATTTTAAGTATAACTTAATGAATGAACATAACCTAATAAGGAAGGAAATTACCTTTTCCAGTTGCAAACTGCTACTTCAGTAATTTTGAGAAATTTCATTTTTGTGAATTAGTGAAATAACAAAAGTGATATTTTTCAACAGGAGATGTAATTTTCCTCCCTTAATTCATCAAGCTATATTTATACTTCCTATAAACCTACCCTTACAAAAGCAACAAATTATTGATGAGCAGCGCCGTCTTAAGGCATGTCGGGATCCTTGGGTATACATGAATACGAACAAAAAGTTAAAAATGAGCAATACAGCTTAAAGATACATGAGATATACGAGTAATTTGTATTTTTGATTCACATATAGAATCAAACGTTGCACTGAGTCACGTTATATTATGTCAAGATGCATAGAATACCCCAGGCGTGATCGCTTGGACCATATTATAAAGATAAACTTGGACCTCCTCGATATTTTATCAAAAAATCTCGACCTACGACAATCGGTTCGATAATTCAATCCTTGTAAGCTGTTCAACCTTATAAAAGATATTCTTCAAAGGTTCTGGAGGAGTTATTCATTCTAGTAATATTATTAATTTTTTATCTTCATTTTCGGTATTTTTCGGCTATTATGATCACAAAGTTTCTGAGGCAAAATTTATTTTATTGCATGAAGGAAGAAAAGGAATTTTGACTATATCAAACCAAATGTTGAAAGAAATATAACTGCTGAAGATAAAGATACCCAAAACGCAACAAACTCATGTTCTTAATTACTCATTATTAGTGATTGCGATTCATTTGTTACTTCAAATCCAGAAACGTATATTACTGAAGTTTCTGAAGATTAATTTTTTCATACACTCAAATCAGTGTACTTTTCACATGGATCTCGTGAAATCAACATAGGTATTTGAAGGAAAGATTCAAAATAACACTGAAATTAGATTTAGGTAAAAATAATGTTCATTAACTATTTTTGCAACTTTCTGAAGTAGGTATTGAAATAGATAGATGCAGTAAATTATGAACTGAATAGGTATAATATGGAATTGAATGAATACATTTCCAGAGATGTAACCCAAAATTCTCTCTAGCTCTTGAAATATTAGAAAAAAAGTATCGCTTCTTCATTCGGTAGTAATACAAGTTATGATTTTTATTCAGATCTGGCATATTTTCTACTCAATTTATGTTAGGTCTTCAACAACTGAAATATATTTTCAAAAATATTGAAAGTTATTATTTCTAACAACAATATAAAGAAAACCCAATATCAATATACTCACGTGAAAAATATGGCAAAGTGCAAATAGCTGACCATCAGTGTCTTCAGTAAGTATCCTTTCTTGAACAAAGGCACAGTCTGTTCCCACATGGACCTCAGTATACCCCTTTCTTTCTCGAAATGCAAATCAGAATCCTCTTCCCACGTTATCATAGATACCGGAAACTCATCCTGGCTCTTTCCAGTATTCACGGAATACATTTTTCTCAGTATAGCCAGAGCTTCGTCATGCTGACCTTTCGAAATCAAATATTTGGGACTCTCGGGAAGTGAACAGAGAAGAATGGCGAAGAGAATGCTTGGCAAGGCATATATGACGACGAGAAGTCGCCAAGGCCTGAACATGATGTTTATCAAAGGTATTTCGTATGACCACTCCAGAGGCAGAATTAGCCAAGCCATTCCTGGTAGGTACATGTTACCAAAAGCTACGAAGGTGGCTATCCAGGAAACTACTTTCGGGCGGAATCTGTTGTCGTTGAATTCCCCGGCGTAGGCGTAGATTATAGCTGATGGCCCACCAACACTAAAAATAATTGAGAATTAGACTGAGAGGGCCGAACACTTGGCAAAACAAAAATTAGTCTACTTTGTGAAGCTTCCTTACATTGTTTTTTATCCTATACAATAATTTGTTGTCATTTTGACACATAACTTGGAATGCTTCTTTGAGTTAGAGGTGTGGTCTTTTAAAAAAACAGGTAATCTTTTTATACTATTTTACAAACGTTTTGTTGATTTTACTAGCACTCAGCACTTCAGTGAAATTCATTTTTTTAATCAACTTGCAGATACACTTCTTTCAAGTGTTTAGTTTCTGAATCACGTGGCTTCAGGATTATCAATTATTCCTTTTCAAAAGAACTGTATAGAAAATTAATATTTTTTTGCAGTATGACTATACAACAAAATTATACACGTGAAAAAATGGGTACCTTATATATCGTTTTGTAAAATCATACACCAATGTTGTTTCAGTATTTGTTGAATACTTACACAGTAAATAGAATATAATATACTGAAGACCTTGTAGTCTACTTTGAGACGAAACTTAATTTCAATCGCTATGTGGAATATGTCATTAATACGAGTAGTAGATCACTGCCTTTGTTTAATGGAATATGCAGACTTCAACAATAATGCTGCCACTGAAATCATCTAATAATAATAACAATACCACCTACGGTAGGTTTACAGTACTGACGAGACACCGATTTTGTTCTACGCTCCGGGGGATATTAAATCCGTTGTGGTAAATGAGTAACGACTATTTCTATTTCTGCAGTTGCTAAGAGGCCCACTAGCAACTTCAAAATCGATTTCTGCAACATAAGAGGAGTCGACTCAAATATAAACACAATGCACCATCTACATCTACAAACAAATAGTCCTCAATTTTTTGCTCTTACAGAAACCAAAGTCAGTGCTTCATCAAATCCCGTCAATTTTCAATATCCTGGCTATGATTTCCACTCCTGATTCAGACGTAACTTTGGAATATGTCTTTTTATCCGAAGCGATCTCTCCTGTCAACGACAGGAAATGCTCAAACCCCAAAACTTTGACATTATTTGGTTTGGAATAATATCACAGAAGATCACTAAATTCTCATGCTGCGTTTATCGACCACCAAGCGATACACATACAACATTTACTTTCTGCAAATCAATCATTCCATTGCCGAAATTTTCATATTCGGTGAATTCAATGTCTACAATATCAAATGGCTCAAATTTCCAAATATCAACGACGAACAAGGTCGTGAAGCTGAGGCTTTTGCAATAAGCAACGGACTTACTCAGATTATAAATGAGCCAACCAGGATTCCTGACCGTGATGGAGAATATGCTAGTCTTCTGGATCTATACCTAACAACCAATTTATACAGCCACCGTAAGATCTTCTGACCACGAACTCATTTCAGTGTTGAGTGAATTACAGATACATGTTGGGGAACAATCTAAGCCGAGCAAAGTTTGGCATCACAGATTTGCTGAGTGGGATGATTTTCAAGACCATTTTCGAAATTTCCCCTGGATAGATGTTTGTTTCAGCTCTAATAATCCATCAACTAGTGCTTTTGAAGTCACGGAAGTTATTTCATCATCCATGGATGCCAGTGTCGGCTCGTGCATTGGAGAACAGGGGAGGCTGAAGTCATAAAGACTATATACACACAGAAAAGCACGCCGGAGGCGCGAAAATTTTTGGGGTACCGCACTTATTTAAAGCAAAATACGTAATATTTGCATAAATGCAAACAAAAATTGTGTATTGCCGAAAATTATACGTGTAAAACCGACCATAAAAAAAATAAGGAAAAAGGGTTGTCTTCGAGTTATTTAATATAAATGAACCTTCTCATTCAATAAATAATACTTTTCTCTTCTAATATAACAGTTTTGTTGAAAATTGCTAAAAACGATTGAAAGTTGTGATGTACAGGTGATATCGGTAGTTTCATCAATTTCCCATGCAAAAAAAGAAACACTTTCAATCTCCTTGCTTATATTTTCCTCAATAATATATGCCACACTGTCTATAAGCTCATTTTGAATGGTTTTTGAGGTGCCCGAAAAAACGCTACCGTGAGGCCAAATTGTGAATCATATTTGCCCCATAACATTAAAAGTTCCTTGTAATTGCCGCGATTAATCGAATCTTCGGTTTCATCGTGTCCGCGAAAAGCTAATTCTTGGGAACCCAAATAAATCGTAATATCGATAAGTCTTTAAATTCGACCGATTTTCCCTAACCTGATTATTAAAAGAAATTATGGCCCCATTTTGAGCTGTATCTAAAGCTGTTGCTAAATTTTCTTTGCTAAACAATTTTAATTTACAAGACGAAAATTTATGATCCTTAGATTTAAAATGTTTTTCTGTAGAACGAGGTAAATTTTTTAAATTGGAGTACTTATCCTATTTTAGACCACGTTTGGTATTCGGTTTGTACGGAAAATGAAACACAGGGACAACAAAAAAGTTTTTCTCGTTTAATGGAGCCGGTTAACCAATCGCATTTATCGTACCAACTAATATTAAACCTCGATTTTGTCGATTATGTGACGCTTTATTTGTAATCAAATTTGGTTGAGGCCTTCCCAGAGTTTTAATAATGTAAAATTTATTATCATAAGATAAAAACTTAAAACTATCTGTAAGCAACCAATCGATTATATCGTCAGATTTTCTAATTTCGTCCAACTTATCCATAATAAATGGAAAAGAAAACTTATCGAAAAGTGAAAACCTGAACACCTTGAAATTGAAAGAAAACACTTTAAAAACACATCAAAAATATTACCAAAAAGCACTGCTATAAGACTGTCTGTTTTATACACAAATAAATATTATCAAGAAACACTAAAACGATTTACCGAAATATTTTTCAGTCCCGGTCCGTTACGGCATCCCGTCTGAATAATTAAATAAAAAACAAACGCAGTCGTACACTAACGGAGACCAACTGGAGGCTAGCCTCCTCTAACGCTATAATTTCTGCAACTGAAATTACAAATCGGGACGTATGTCGCTGGTTGGATCGGTCTCGTGGAGCCTGTGTTTTTTAAAGCGGTCGGAGGCTTGGCTCCCTTGCAACGTATGGCATTTATTATTTCGGGTTGATTGTTTATTCGTAATTCGTTCATGGGCGGTGCGTTTGAGTTTTGTTGATACAGGATACAGTGTGGTACGTACTACGTAGTGAGTGATAGTGTTTTTTCGAGCACATTATGTATTTATATTAAAAATTATTGGTAAAGTAATGATAAATGATACCCAAGCATTTTTAGAAAAAAATAATCATAATTATTTGTCAATATCTTTTAATTTATTGCGATGAATAGCCTCAAATTTTATGGGGAGGCTAAGCCTCCCTTGCTTTCTCTGACGAGCCGCCGCTGATGGATGCATATATTTTCTTTTCAATAAAACGAACTTCTGAAGGCAAACCTTGATTCAACAAAGATTACGAGCAAGCTGTGGCGTCAAAATCCCAGTGCCGAAAACCGAACTAGTTTTGTTAATGCTCGTAACATCTGCAAAATTAGAATAAATAAAAACAAAGAAGTTCACAATCAGAGAATTAGGGATTAACTGCTTGCCAATCCCAACGGGTCTAGATCCTTCTGGTCGGTAGCTGAAGCTGTTAATCAAAACTTTACAAAATCAAAAATTCCATTACTGACACAAGCGGATAGTTCAATTGCAACAACAGCCATAGAAAAAGCAATTCCTTCACAAATTGAGTGGGCCCACGAGGAATTGGGGCTATGCTGTTAGTTATCTCGTTCATAGGCAGATGGGGCGATGACAAACACTCTGTTTGTCGTTCGCTTCAGCCTAGTTCGAGGAATGATACATTGAAGAAATTTGATTTTCAATTATCAGAAATCGTCGAGTTTATGTTGATGATAGACACAACCTTGCACTGACGAGTGGCCAAACAGCTCGAAACTGGTCTGCAAGTGTGTTCCAATGATTGAAAATCGATTGTGGCAGTTGTATCGCCAACAGCATATGCAGGAATAACTTCAGTGAAGAATCCTGCACTGACACTTTTCGGATATAATCCAACGCCCTTCGTGGTATTAGCCAGGGGAGTAGTTATTTTCTGATAGGTGTCAGTCTATTAATCTACAGTGTAGGTAATTTGATATTGGCCTGAACGAATTGTTCTTTTAGATAATTTGTTTTTCTTTCTTGTTGGAAGATGGCTCGCGTTCAGCCTATTTCCAAAAAAGGCAAGAAAAAATTTCCAGATAAGTCCCTTTGCTATCAGAGATATCAAAAGTCACGGAGAAAGTTGTGAACCACCATATTCTCAAATATTTGAAAGGCTTCAATATTTTGAGCGTTCATCAATATGGCTTTCGGAAACAAAGATCAACAAGAGATCTTCCATTGTATATCACCCATATTTGGAATAACACAATCGAGAAACATGGAGGGTCGAAAACTGTTGCGCTTGATATTTCTAAGGCCTTTGACCGTCTGTGGCATGAGGGTTTGCTGGCCACACTTTGATGCTATGGATTTTCGGTTATTCAGCTTCCTGAAAGAACGTGTTCTTCAATTGGCCGTCTATGGATATCTCTCGAATACTTTTACCATTAACGCTGGTGTTCCCCAGGGATCTATATTGTCTCCAACACTCTTTTTATTGTATATTACCAACTTATTGGAAAAAACGAAGAATCCAAAATATATTGCTTAGCTGACGACAGCACAGTTGTCTCGTCGTTCTATTTCAATTCCAGGACATCGGCTGTGGATGCAGCAGGAGGTTACAGGATGATCTAAATGAAATTTTTACTTTTTCATTCAGTATATTGTGTTGAAATCTTGTTAATGATATCTGATTCAATGCCATAACGAATGTTGGGAATACAAACTGTGCAGAGAAAAGCATTTTTGTATAATTTAGTGTTTGACAGTTATCACAATCAACAGTCCCGTTCAACAAAAAAAAAGAAATCGTCTGAAAAATAAAAAAAATTGAAAATATTGTCAAATATGAATGTACATGATGAATTCAGGCCAGAAACTCTTTATAATTGCCCAATACTTAACGTAGAATATATTTCATGTAAGGGGGTTCTTTTTAATGTACTAGTGCTTCTTCCTTCATAAATGTGGTTATACATTCAGTACCATATTTCAGGTGACATGCATATTCTGATCCCAGTCTTTAAACAAATGTGTTGTACTATTAGCGCACCAACTACTTTCATAATGAATTTTAATTATCGATACTCATTTCGCAGTTGAATAAAATATTTCATGTAAGGGGGTTCTTTTTAATGTACTAGTGCTTCTTCCTTCATAAATGTGGTTATACATTCAGTACCATATTTCAGGTGACATGCATATTCTGATCCCAGTCTTTAAACAAATGTGCTGTACTATTAGCGCACCAACTACTTTCATAATGAATTTTAATTATCGATACTCATTTCGCAGTTGAATAAAACATTGTGAACAAAATAATAAGCTGAAACAGTCGTGGTGAAAATACTGTGATATAATAAATTTTGATAAAAGTAAAGAAAATTTGCATCAGTTCTATTTTCATCCCAAGATAGCAAAAAACTGCGTTTATTTTTTTCATTTCAACCATTAAATTCTTGATAAAAATCGTTCTGGATATATATTAAAAAGTTAGTTAACTTCATTCGAAAACAATTTGATATATTATGCTTTAAATAACCTGATAAGTATCACTGAGGAATTACTTGAACTTATCACTTATTATTTGAGAGGTGAAATCATCACTTTTGTTTTGATTCGTAAATGAATTTTCAAGAAAATGAGGCTAACAAAATAACCAGCATTATAAGGTAAACTTTCCACTGCTCACTATCTCTACTAATATTTACGTAAAAATTTCGGTTGTATTAGGTAATAAAATGTAATAAAACATCGCAGGAGGTATAAACCAGATTTATGATTATAATTGATATATTTGTGAATGGCTTCAATAACAACGACAAGAAAAAAAGAATCATGAAGTAGTGCAGTAAATGAACTCCTTCATTATTAGGAGTGCAGTAAATGCACTCCTTCATTATTCATATAGGCCAGCGATCCTTTTAAGTAGCATGCTCTAAAAATCTGTATTTTCCTCTGGAATTGTATTCGAGACTTTCTATTTGAATAGCCATGTATTCTGGCTGTTGTGATCTGGAAAGAAATGAAAACTCTAAAATAATAAACCTGGTCGATTTGACAGCATTTCAAAGCCTTCAGATATTTTTACATGGTCGTCGTATTGATTTTGTGAAATCACGTTTTAACATTAACTATTATATAGCTATCGATGGATTAAAATGTTTAACTGCCATTTGGAATGCAACTGTATAATAATCAGTTTCTTCGCAATCAAGAGTCAAACTTCTAATTTATTTGTTTACCAGTCATGTTTTCTAGGGATATATCTATTTTTATGGATAGATGAAGCTATTTTTTAGTGAAATTCCGAAAATTTACGATGAGGATTCTAAAGTTTTTTGTTGTGTAATCATATGTCAAAATTAGTATTTAATTAAAACCAATGTGCGATGTTTGGCAATCAGAAAAATGTTTTAGGAAAAATTTGACAACTGTGAGTTACCAAAATTTTCACCTGATGAGATTAGTGAAGTTTTGAATAAGAATCTAACGAAATTTTTGGTTTCACCTTGATTATCAAACTGTTGCTGTAGAGCAGTCCATCAATCGAATAGTTAATCAATGTTAAGAGATGGGACTGGGGGTATTATTGGCCACCTTGATCGCCCGATGCAACACCGTTTAGCAACACTCATCAGAATAGAGAATATAGAAAAAAATGTATAACGAATCTGCTCCTGACCGATATGTCGGCCGACTCAGCGAACAAACACGTGACATTATCGCGAAAGAATGCAGTCGGGAATCGCCGGTAAAACTCTAGAACCGAACCGACTACAGATTTCTAGAAAGGACCGTTACCGATATAAGCACGGTTTCCCGACCCAAGAGGGCAGTTCAGAAAGTGAATCGAACGGCTGAACAAGAAATTCAAATAGTAGAAATGAATTGAGCGTTAGTTGCTGAGTGTTGTAATAAATACATTAGTTTGTGATTAGTGAACTATTGTTGCAAATAAATTTGTTTAAGACAGTTGATTCTTTAACTTGTCACAAATGAAAAAAAAAAAGAGGAATCATCAAGACTATATTAGACTGTGCTTTCGTTAACACGAAGAAAGAACTCGAGAAGGAACTAGACATTATCAAAAATGATTTTCAACGGAATGGCTACTCCAAAGCGATGGTAGAACAGACTTTGGCTGAAAGACAGCAAAAATCTCGCAAGGAAGAGAAGCCGTCACAACCAGTGCTTCCACTTCCCTACACTAGAGGATTATCGGAACGGAAAGGATGAAAAGAACACTATTCGTAGCAGCCTCACAAAAACCAGGCCACCAAACGCGAACTGCTAGACAATGGAAATCCGAACTAATGAAATTCATCATGAAACATTGTCAATCACCTTCAAACATAAATTTCAATTGTTTTCAACTTTTTTCCCGAGTGAACGTATTTTTAGTCCAAAATAGCAAAAATATTGTATCAGCTACATTGCATGAGAAACAATTTTTTCAAATTTCGAATTTCGGTAAAAGACATTTCTGATTTGTTTTTGAATATAAATTTCACATATAACGAATCGCAGTTGGTGAAAAGGATTATATCAATGCCAGGACCGATGCCAAAGTTCAATCTTATGTAAGTCTTTAAGACAAATTAATATATTGCTGACTCTACTGGAGCCACAGTAACATAACTTAGTTCTTATTATGATAAAACCCCACAAGAAATCTTGTGTAAAACATGAGGCGGAAACGTCTATAAAATGTAACAAGATAGTGGGTACTTACAAAAATCCATTTAAAAACCTCAGCATGATGAACAACCATGGTAGAGAGACCAAGCTTCCTATAAAACTGATAACTGCACTACATATCAACGACCACAGCGTTACTGTTTTCCTCCCCTTAGTATCTCCCAAATACCCCCAGAGATGCGAGCCCGAAACTACCCCTAGAAAGCTAATCGCGTACAACAGTCCTTTGTCGCTCAAACTGAGACGTAGATCGCACTGTGCAGCTGGTGTTATGAACATTGCACACATTGTCTCCACTATCACGCACATTAGGCATCCTCCAGAAGCAACCAGGACGTACAGGTTGAATTTTCCAAAGCCTGCAAGAGATTCACATATTTCACGATCAAAAACTGAAGAAAACAAATCAACAACACCTGATGGCATACCCAAACGATTATTCGGAACCCCAGATATAACCCAAGCTTCGATTCTGACCCACCTTGTCTTTTTGTTCTAAGTTCACTTAATTGCAGATACTAACTGATTAATCATTCCTAAAGGCACCAAGGGAATGAAAAATATAAATTGCAGAAATACTTTAAAAAAATATTGATGTATTTTTTATAACAGACTAAGAATTCGACACTACATGACACCATGTAGTCGGAACAAAATGTTCATTTCCATTTTCTAGGCTTGTTAAATTATACTTATTAAGGATTAGAACTTGAAATTCGATGACTCACTAACATCCACTATCCACAAAAACTGTAAAAATTTGTAATGAGTAAAATCACTAAGATAAACAGAATTATAGAGTATACAATATAAATGAAGAGATAATAATAATGATATAATACGTCTTCATTGACCATTCATTTTTAAGTTTGAGCAAATCACGATTTGGAAACAGCTGCCTGAGGATGTTATAAAAAGTTTGGTTCAGATAGTGTTTAGTGAAGCAAAGTTCTAGATCAAACCATAATCCTAAGTTTTTCTTTTCGGTCACGGAGAGACATTTTCCATGCGGACTTGAAAAAAAATAGAGGTGGTCTCTGTTCTTCTTGGGTCCAAACATCTTTATTGCAGATTTATTAGCATTTAGCTTTAGCTTATGGGCTGTAGAAATATCAAAGATGGCTTGAAGAATCTTATTAATATATGACTGGGTAGAGGTAGAATCATGAGGCGGAAAAGAGAAATATAACTGCGTGTCGTTGGCATAGTAATACGTACTGCATTTTTTAACTGATATAAATCGCAGATGTATAAGCTAAAAATCAAGGGACTAAGGATAGATCCTTGTGGCACTCCTTTTGATAACGGTAGACCATCCATTACAGGTCCATCCACAACAACTTTTTGACTACGATTTTTTAGATAGTTTCCTAAAAGTGACACTGGTTTCTGAGAAAACCCAAAGGAGACAAGTTTGTTACAGAAAGTCTCGCAATAAAAAGTGTCGAATGCTTTGCTGTGATCCAGAAATACTAAACAGGTCACATTATCATCATTTACACTATCTACAGCTAAAAAGATCGTCAGTAATTGACAGAAGAGCCGTGGTGGTACAATGCTGTGATCTGAATTCTGATTGAACAGATGTTAAAATATGATTCTCATTGCCATATTCATTAATCTGATCTTTCAGTATCAATTCCACTACTTTAGAGAGACAAGTGAGAATTGTAATTGGTCTTAGGATATCAAGAGTCCTTAAAGTATTCCAAGTTGATTTGGATTTGATATTTCGCAAAACGAATCCAAGATATGCTTTTCTTCACGTCGTATGGCTCTACATGTATAATTTCTGAGTTCTTTATAACTATTCCAGATAACTGGCGAGAATAATGTAAAGGATCCAAATAAGTGAATAGATTAAGAAAATCAATTTATCTGTTTGAACGCGGCTAACAGGTATTAGGGAACACAAAAAGGTAAGCAAATGATCAATTCCCAAAAGTACGTACAATTTTAAGGGTTTTGGTTGTGAACTCCATGAATTAGGTACTCTGAGATTACTATTTGTTCAGTAATGATATATGGGCGCTCAACTATATCTTTCTTTTTATAATGAACCGATTTAGATTCGCGTAATTTTCCCACTAATTTGCAAAAAAAATCCCAGAAATATGTTTTTCAGGATGCCATTGGTTGAAATGCTCGTCAACCCAAATTTAACATTCATTACCTTCTCCGTAATTGAGAACCTTATAACTGACAAACTAAAATGTCTGATGGTTTTTCAAAATATTAATATTATCAACACGAAAAAACTACTTTTCGAGCCCTGAAGAAGAATTTAATTGAATTAGAAACGTCGAAAAAAATACAATTGTTTTTATGAGAAAAAAATTGATCCTGTTACCCAGGTGTTTTTGTATTTTTTGCAAAAAGTTATTTCCCTTGCCTTGGCTACTCTATATAGTTTGGCTGAATTGAAAAGTTCTGCACCATGAATACATAGTACTTTCATTTCAGAACGAATAGGTACTGTTCAATTTCTCAGACAATTTATTTCAGAGTTATCGACCGAATCAAACACATAACAAATGGAAGAATGAAACTGTTGTAGGTTAGACCTTCAATTATCTTAATGTATTAACTGGATTGAAACATATACTGTACATAATAATTTTTGAGTGATGACTAGGATATAAGTGAGAAACATATGGACATCTTCAGTCATGTGAAAAAGCCAACCGAATTGAGAAAATTCGGTTGGTGACAGCAAAAGACAGCAGAGATCTACTCAAATCAGCGGGAGTTTACAGAATTTCATGTAACTGTGCTAAAGAAAATACCGAGGGGCTAGCAACTTCGAATAATTATTCAACAAAAATATATCTAGAAGCCGTAGAAATATACCAAGAGAACTTCAACAGAAAGGAAACGAGAACATATCTACCGAAGATCTGGCACATAGCATTGGAAAGTGGCAAAACGAAACCAAGTCAACCAAATTGCACGGGAAGTACGCGCGAACCCACCACTATAGAAAGTGCGCGAAAAATCTGCACTATACATGACAGGGCAGAAATGAGTACTTTAACCACGCCACTGAAGATGACTGCCGCAGTTGCAGTCGAAGCTTTTGGAGATTGTTACCTAGGAAGACCAGGGCAAAACCCGGAAACCAACCGAAACAACATTTTAGAACAGTGATTTCCAAAGTGGTCCAGATGGACTCCCAGTGATCCACGAGAGACTCGACAAGGGTTTACGTTGGCGTGACCAATAAATGAGGGTTCACAATTCGTAAGGCGATCCACAAAAATTGATCTGGTTTCGATAGTGAAAAACTAAAATGATGGCTTGACTTCAGCTATCAATGTAGGCAGATAATATTTCAAGAAGCCCAGTGACTGTTACATGTAAACACTTGCAGATTGAATACCACAGAAAGGGGAGATTTGCGGTTATTCCTAACAAAACTGAAGCCAAATATTGATAACTTGTTGTCCATCCATCAACAAGTATATTCCTCCCATTGAAATATTGACTATTTTGCGATTGTTATTATGATTGTTAGAAGTTACGTTATTGATGTTTAATTTTAATCACATTACGACTGAGTAATGCTGTAATAATTACATACTTGAATAAATAAGACAAAAAATATTCTATTTTCCTTTTTATTTTACTACACTGAATTGGTAGTTTTCCGAATGAAATAAGTGAGAATTGATTGGTTTCTTGTACTGTGAGTAGACGTCAAAAAAGTAAAATTGGATGGAATCACTTTTTTGATTGATCACCTTGACTTTTTTTGACATTGACTCACATCACAATCAATTACTTAACCAACCAATCAATTCTCACTTTATAGTCAACAACTGTTAATTCGTGGTTGGAACGCAACGCAGATTTCCATAGTTAGATCTAGAGTTTCGGGAATATGATAGAAATGTAGCTGCAGGGGGTCCACCGGAACCAGCAAAATTCTGAAAGTGGTCTATGATAAAAAGAGTTTGGAACTTTTGCTCTAGAAGATGGACTGAAATGAGAAAAGATCAACATCAAAGTTCTCCTTCTCTTATCAGACATTTTATGTTCCGATGCTGAATCTATGTTGAAAAAGTGAAATGATAACGTTATTTTCCCATTTATTACACTCACCAGCCAGTGAAACCGCTTCCTCAAAGGTCTTGGAGGATTTTTCGTAGGCTCTGGCCATTTTTGAGTACTTCAATCAAGAAAAAACCAACCACCTGCTGTGATCACCAGCGAACATTTGTTATCTTGTTCTCTCAACAACGGTGCATAATATCCTTCGCGAGTCGAAATATTATTTGGCAAAGTATTAAGTAAGATTCATGAATTACGATAAGCACAGTTTTTTGTAAACATAATATATCAAATGATCTTGTTTTGATGATCATTCAAACACGAGTCAATCATTCAGTACAGCACAAATTTAATTTACGTAGTGGATAATGAGATTCAACACTTATAATCGATTTTGTTATGAATATTACCAAAGAATGTACGTGTATTGGAGAACCAATCGTAAAATCAATAAATATCATTGTAGTGCTTACGTATGTATTGCAACTATTAGTCTGTTTTGAATGGTTTTGCAAAATAACAAAACCAAATATTGAGGCTTGTAATCTAGTTTGAAGGTTTCACATGAATTTGTGTGGAAAAAACATAATATACAATGAGAGGACCCTGAGATGATAGTGATTACACCTATAGGAGGATTTTTATAAAAAATATAAACAATTTCATTGCCCAAGTTGAAGATCAAAACTCCAAAAAGGTTTGCATGTTGCACAAGTTAGAACAAATAATTATTGTAGCATTATTGAAAACACAGATTTCTTAAACAGATATGCGGGACTCTTCCATGAAAAGAAGGGAGCATTGAGTGTACCAGACAGAATGATTTTGGATGGAGTCTAAAAAAGCTTCGAATCTCATTTTTGTTTCACGTCCGAGTCTATGGGAGCTTGGTTTGATTTCAAATGCTGAACAAGTCGTAATTTCATCTTTGTTAAATTGTTCAAAAAAAATCCGACAAAGAAAGATTGAGCTCCGTTTAATTTTTCCGGAATTGTAGTTCATTCGATGCGGTCTTGATTCTAAAATACAGATAATTCATGATGTATGGGATGGTGTTTTCTGGATTTTTGTGCTTTCGTCACATATTTGTACAGGAAAGAAAGCTTTGGAACTTTACAAATGACAAATGTGAAACATTGTGAATGTTATTGAAGTTTTTTTAACTATAATAACTCCTAGTTTATAATAAATCACGCTCAAAGCTATTTGTTTCCTAGTTTTAGAAACGTGATGTTATACTTGGTCCCAATCCTTCTTATTCTTTCCAAGTATAACATCAAGACATGCTTCAGATCTGGGAACACTATCCGTAGCAGCTTCACGAAAACCAGGCCACCAAACGCGGATTGCGATTCCAAGAATTGCATTTACCGCATACCCTGCGAGTGCGGAGAATCATACATCGGTGAAACTAAGAGACCATTGAAAGTTCGCATTGCAGAGCACAAGAAACACACGCAGCGAGGAGAAACCAGCAAATCCGGAATAGCAGAGCATGTTTGGACTCATCAACATAACATCAAGTGGGCTCGAGCTGAAATCATCCACAAGGAAGAAACCAGAAAATTCAAAGAAGCCGCATATATGTTGTCCAACAACGCATTTAGCCAAGCTAGCGTAGAGATACGTAACATATGGAAACCTCTAATTAAGCGAAAAACGACTAACTCCCGCCAAACGGTTATCTCCTGCTAAAACTAATGAAGCGGAAAGAGGGAAGAGAGGATAGGTGAAAGTACTCGAATGTCCTATAAATAGTCACATCTCGGAGGAATAAAATAAAAGACACAATCGTCGTTCTCCCATTGTGCCAATTTATAGTGACCACAGCGGACGAAAAGAGTTTACGGACAAAAAGTGTTTGCAGACGAAAAATTAGTAAGTACGTGAAATGTAATTTATTGTAGAGGTTGATGAAAAAATTATTGTGTTTTAGTTCTCAGTTGATACCATCTAGTTCTTGACAGTTGTCACATTCTGAATTTGTTGAGTCAACGTCATAATTTTCAACAGAAGGGCCACATATTTATTTGTTTCTTGGAAGCAATCTTCAATCTCGAAAGTTCGAATTTAAATCGAACAATCCTGATCTCGAAAGACGTCGAAATTTCCAGATTAAGGTCGAAATTTACAGATTAAGGTGGACATTTCCAGATTGAGGTCGAAATTTCAAAAAAGTTCAGAAGGGCCACATATTTTTTTCATTTGTTACTTATAAATTTCGACTTTAATCTCGAAATTTAGACTTTAATATCGAAATTTCGAGGAATTTCCAAGAAACAAACCATACACTGGCTTCTTCAGGCGTGTGAAGACTGTTTAGTGAAAATCTCACAACAAAGTGTTTTTTGAATACGTTATGAATTTTCATTAAGTATAGGCCTATTTCATCAAAAATGACTAACAAATAATAAAAATATTTTTCGAGTTTAAAGTAGGAATTTCGAGTTTGAAGTTAAAATTTCGAGATTAAACTCGAAAGTTCGAGATAAAAGTCGAAATTTTGACTTTAATCTCGAATGTCCGGAATGTCCAAGAAACAAATAATAAAAATATGTGGCCTTCCTGAACCTGTTCGCGATTATTGACATTTGTAGCGTACAGCGAATTTGATGTTGATGTGTGTTCAGATCTCAGTAAATGGCTTTATAATTTGGAAGCTTTGATTATTGAAACTTTTTTGCTGCTTGCTCGAAGGAATATATTTTTTTATTGAATTGTGCTCTCAGGAAAACATCAGAAACGTTGTCTTACATTTCCAATAATTTTTCTGATTAAAACTGCCTCACCAAATGCGTATTTTCCAACAAGTAAACTTATAGAAACCAACCACGTTACTGCATATATCATTAGTAGTCTAGGCAGCTTGTGTTTTTTTTGCGGAAAGTTTTGCAAGAGTTTTGAAAATTGGATCTGAATAGTATTTTGGGCTGCTGAACACGAATCTGAGGTTTGCCAACAGAATTTTTTACGGGAAATATGTTTTTTTGTAAAAATTGTGAAACAATTCTACTTAGTTTTGGTTTTTTGCGAATAACTCGAAAACTACGCGACTGGTCCAGAAAGGTCATCTATAGAAAAAGATAGAGAATAAAATTTCCTACATTTTATTTACAGAAAGTTGTTTCTACGATCAACCGTTAAGCCGCAGGAGAACGCTAAAAGTGGGAGAAAACACCCAAATTTCCTAAAATCAGGATTTTTGGCGATTTGACACGGGAAACGTCTTTGCTATCCTCAAAGTTATTAGGACCAAATATTATGTATTATGAAAAAAAGTTCAATTCAATTTCAAATAATATATTGATTATAAAAACATGGAATCGTTTATATATACGAAATGAAATTTGTGTATATTAATAGTAATATGAACGCTAAAATTGTCATCATCTTCATTCTTCAATCTTCGAATTCTTCTTCGAACGGATTAGTGAGGACTGTGAGAACTCTAAAAAGTTTAGAAAGTTGTAATCTCAAATTATTGTACCTTCGATTTTCTTACGTCCTCAACCTTTTCGAGGGTCGTTCATTAGGATCTGGATCACCTTCATCTGTAGAAGAAAAAATAAAAGCATAGAATCAGAGGAGGGAGTTAAATTTCAATAACGGATTGAGTAGTATAAAGATACTGCAAGCATTTACCTTTTGAGTTTTCTCCTTGTGGAATGTCAAACGGCAACAAATCGTCCATCTCAGCCTTGGCTTTCTCCTCGTCCTGCTCCTCCTCTTGCACCGTTTCAATGTTATTACAGGTGTCCTCACAATTCATGCATAAGGAGGAGCAGGATAGATCTGCCTTCCTGCACCCACAATTTCGCTGGCAATTTGTGGTGCACTTGCACGAAATCAGCTTTAGAAGCGCAGGGGGAGCAAGCGTGATCACTGGCTCAAAGCCTGAGATCGCTTTTATCCAACCCCACTCCTCAGAGTCTTTTTCCACACCAAGCCAGTGCTGAACCTGGTGGTAGACCCTGAGAGAGAGAGAGCTCCCTCGCTGCAGCAGCACTAGGTGGTAAAGCTGCTACGTTTGAGCTGAGCGTGAACGCTGCCTTGCTGAAGATGAACCTCAGGTGGTTGAGTGTGGGTGTGGTTTTCCATGCGTTCTCCTGCGGCGATTACTGCTTCTTGGGAGGCGTTGGTGTTTTTGAAGCTGGAGTTCTTCACAAGCGTATTTAAAAATTTCGTCTTTCCTTGCCTGAAGAGGGCAAGGAACCCGCTTTGAAAACAATCATTTCATTGAGAAATTTTCCGTTAGCTTTTATTGCTTTCACCTTAAAACTATTCAGTGAAGGTCATTTGCCTACTGGATGAATTAGCAGATTGTTGCATAGTACCTTGTTTCAACTTATACCTGTAAAAGGTAAGTGAACTTTAAGTCAAGAAATCCTTTAAAATGAATTGAATTTTACTTCAATAAGACAACTTAGTGTAAGTTTAACGAATACTTTCTTCAATATTGCATTTCCGTGTCAAATCGCCGAAAATCCCGATTTTTCGAGTTTTGGGGGTTTTCCCTCACTTTTAGCGTTCTCCTATGGCTTAATGGTTGACCGTAGAAAAAAAAATCATTACATAAAATGTAGCAAATTTCATCTTCTTTCTTTTTGTATAGATAATCTTTCTACACAAAATGCGTAGTTTTCGGGTTATTGGCAAAAAACCAAAACGAAGTCGATTTTTTTCACAATTTTTGCAAAAGAATCATATTTCCCGTAAAACATTCTGTTGACAAACCTCAGATTCGTGTTCAGCAGGCCAAAATACCATATAGAACCAAATTTCAAAACTTCCCGCAATCTGCCCTTTTTTGACACAAGCTGCCTAGAGTATAGGGGTTCCCCGGGGATTAATTTTGGATCTAATAGCTTTTATCACCTATGCTTAATTACAGAAAGTGCTACAAGCTTGTATCTACTCAATTTGAAAAATCCTTCGAAGAAGAACAACATTATTCTAATACTAGATTACGAAATAATCCCCTAAATATCAATGTTCCATAAAATTAGCGATAACTATTCGAATTATTGAGTATAAAAAATATTTATTTTCTATTATTTCTGAATGAATCTCGGTCTGTCTGAAGGTGGTTGACAATGTTTCATGGTGAATTAGTTCGAACTTCCATTGTCTAATATGATATGAAATGAAATATTTTTTTTCATTTGTTATTTCAAAGATTTCAAAACATATCATATTAGACAATAGAAGTCAGAACTGATGAGAATCTCGGTCAGCTCTGTTTATAAGGTAATGAAATAAATGGGACAACATCACAAATTTATTACGTAATCAATAAATTAATTTCTATATACAATTTATATATGATTGAATAGCTAAGCAGGAACTTTTTCTTTTGTTGGTTTTTTCTGGGATGCCATCAGCAGGACAATGATGATGACCACTGAAAATAAAATATTGAAGTTAGTTTAAATTGAAATGGATATACTTTTAAGAGACATCAATTTTTGGAAAAAAAAAGTTTTGGCTTTCTACTTCTCCATCTTCATACAAAATGATGTGATACACAAACTGGAAGAAAAGCCCCCATGAAACAACTACTCTCATGTAAATATTGAATCACTCGAAAGAAAAATACTGTCGCAACAAATACTTTCTTATGAACACTGTATTATACAAAAACACTGTTCTGTATTCAGTTTGAATGAAGATCCGATAAGGCAAGTGTCTTACCAGTCAGGATGACAGTGCATGTAAGTGAAATTTCACCTCTTTCATTTACTGTATTGTATAGTAATTCTGTGAATGATATCTGATTCAATTCCATAAAGAATCGTGTGGGAAAGTGTTTCCGCGTGAGGGACTATTCAATCGTCGAAATAATCACTTCTGGGCTTCAGAAAATCCCTATTTCATTAGACAATGGGCGATAATGTTTTTTGTATGCTCACGGATGATAAAGTTTCTATTTGCATTTATGAATAAAAGTTGAATTCCCAGAAATATTTAGATATTTTGAGATCGACTATGAGTGATTTTCTAGACAATTTGCCCCTGAACTTGTATCGGAATTGTTGGTATCAGTTGGATGGATCACCGGATCTGGCTCCCCTAGATTTTTACCTCTGGGGAAAAATCTAAGGAAGGGTATATAGAACACCTATCATTACGAAACAGGAACTGAAAGAGCGGGTTAGATGTGCCTTCGAAGAAATCGACCCGTCAGAAATCCGCAGAGCCACGACTGATCACATAATAACATCAATCCATCAATGTTTCAAGCACCTGAGCTACTGAATTTTTGTCATGTCAGTATCAAATGTCAAATAATTGCGAAGCTAGTTTCACAATTTTATCTCTTGTTTTTTAGATTAGAATTAATTTTGTTATCAATTTAATTTTGAAAAGTGTTCGTTCTTCTGCCAAAATAGTAATGTTTGTCATACACCCACTATGTAATTTCATTCATGTATTCCATTAAACCTTTCTGAACTAATATAAAGTTATTATTCATTATTCAATGTGTTTACTAAATACATTTTTCGCCGAATTTTGTATTTGAAGTGTTATATTTGTTTAGAAGCAAAAAATTATAGAAGAAATCAAAACTCATAAAAGGTCAGAGATAAGGTCTACGACATAGTTGATTAAAGTTGTTCACCTTGGTAGGCTGAATTCAAAAATTGAATAATATACAGGGTGTTCTATTTGAAAAAAAAATAGTCGTTTTTCAAAGATACAAATTGAGACGTATTTTTCAGACACTCTATATGAAATAAGATTTGAGTTTCGTTCTGAAATAACAACCAACATATCTTATCTTAATGTTGCCAGAATTTGAATTCGGTGTATCAGTTAATTCGATACCTATTAAATATTAAACATGCCATGTTTTCGCCAACAAAAATAATTAATATTTTAAAAACGGTGAGAGATTGGTATAGAACATAGTTCACAAAAGTAATTCGGATTTCGATGCAGAATTCAAAAATGATATAATTAAGTAGAAAGCCAAAACTTTCTTTCCCATTGAAGTCAGTGTTATTGAAAATACTCAGTAGGTTTTTTGGAAAGCATTATTTTAGAAACAATCGATGATTGCAACTAACTGAATGTAATGTATATGATTAGTTACAATGATAACCCTCATTGAAAACAAATGTATGAATGAAATGATTTCAATGGATTGAAAAACATACAATGAGTATTGGATACTTTAATCTGTATAATTTCATCGTTATAGATAAGCGTTGAATGATGCTTCAAAATTTGGTTGCATACCTATATGAGCTGCTCCACAAATATAAAACAGATAATCGCATGCGTTATATACAATTAAACCCCCCGTGTTAGAGCCCGTAACGGCACCAAATCTTCCAAACATCAGCGACACAGCAAGAGCCATTCCACGAATTTGCGTCGGGAATAAATCCACAACAACTGCATTGACTACCCCTACTCCGGTGGCAACCATTAGGAAAATACCTAGAAAAGACAAGAAATTTTCAACGCACGGCATAACCTACATCCCGAAGAAATGAATTTTAAAGCCATTCCTAATTATCACGTATTCATATATACCGGGTGGGGCACCCCATACAACACGGTCCCTGTAAACCAAACCATAAATTTTTTCGGGATTTTCTCCATTTCGTTTCTCAAAGAAAATTTTTTTGGAGTCTATTTTGGTAGCTCGAAAAAGTGTAACATATCGAAGTTGTGTTTATTTAAATGGAACACTCTGTATTTCGTTTCACTTTTGTGCATTTCGTTACACTTTTCACATATAGTCAGTGGGTATACTTGATGACTGGCTATAAATCAAATAATCTAAAAGAACAATTCATTCAGGCCAGTCTCAACTCCCTACACTGTAGGTAAATGGACTGACACCTATCAGAAAACAACTACTCGCCTGGCTAATACCACGAAGGGCGTTGGATTATACCCGACAGGTGTCAGTGCAGGATTCTCCACTGAAGTTATTCCTGCATATATGCTGTTGGCGCGATAAAACAGCTGCAATAGATTTTCAATTATTTATTGGAACAAACTTGCAGACCGGTTTCGGGCTGTTTGGCCTGCACTGACACCTGTCGGATATAATCCAACGCCCTTCGTGGTATTAGCCAGGGGAGTAGTTGTTTTTTTTTGATAGGTGTCAGTCCATTAACCTACAGTGTAGGGAGTTGAGGCCTGAACGAATTGTTCTTTTAGATGATTTTATTTCGTTACACTTTCGTGTAACGATTATGATTGTGTAACGATTGTATAATGTATATGGATTATAAAAGGAGTATAAAAGAGGCTTTGGGCTATTGATTTCGATAAAACTCATTTCCCAATATTATACAGAATGTTCAAAAATCATTATCACTTTTTTATGATTTCGGACAAAGATAACTTTGTTATTTCAAATAGAACAGCCTGTTTTTTTTGATCGAAACAATATAAAATTCAACTATCTTTCATTTCATTTTGGGGTTCCCTATATCTAACCTAAATAGTTTTTTAGATTTAATCTTTTTCAAATAGTAGTTCTAATTTCAATAACTTTCAAAAATATCTCTAAAGAAAAAAATATCAGATTTGTCAGTTAAAAATTATCGCACTTGCAAGTTCGAGTAAAAAAAATTGTTAATCAAGTAAGGCACAATTAGCTGGAAAATCGCGATGAACATTTTTTGGCCGCGAATTATTGTTCATTCATTTATCCAGTAGGTGCCTGAATTTTTTCTATTCATAATCCAGAGAACCCATTTCAGGACGTATTTTCAACCCTCTGGGAAAATTATATATATTGACCCTACAGTTCCGGGAGGTAGGATTTTTTGGTAGATTTCTTCTTCTCTTTGAATCTGTTTATTCAGTTTCAATTAATTGTTTATAACTTTTGCAGTTTTTCAGTATTTAATTTTACACTCCTTCTCCATATTTCAACTATCTACTATATCTTCGAATATCTCCGATTTTCTTTTAGTTTTTGGAATTTCTAGTCTACGAACATGTAAGAAAACATTTTTTCATAATTTCTCTGAATACGAGACCTATATGTTTAGAGCAGAAAAACTTTTGTTGATCTATGAGCAGGAAAAAACAGATGCACCGTGTTAGGAATCACACGTTAATCGTTAGATCGTACAAGTTTCGACTTTTGAGAGTTGCCGTTCGTAAAATGGCGACAGCTGGTTAACGGAAAACAGACAAACAGGCATACAGAAATTGTTTTTTTGTGGTGCAAAGTTCCTCAATACTTCCCAGTTTCAACATTAACTGACTCGAATTCACTCATATGGTTGAGTAATTGAATGAATGAATGTGCTTCTCATGTATAAAATAATGTTCTACTTTGTCTATGAATGTGAACTGTAACAAATTTATATCCAGTGTAGGTAGCTGAATTCCTACTCAAAATGTATTTGAACAGTGGTAAATTACATAAAAAAAGCATTATGTCCATTAGTTATCTATTTACCTTTCGACAAAACAAGTACGAGTCAGTTTCAGAAGCAATTGAGAAGACTAGAGGAACTTAGCCCATAATAGACGAATTTCTAGAGGTGTATTTCTATTTTTTCTGTTGATGGGGCAGTAAAAGTATTTCCCGGACGATATTTTGGATGTACGTCTTGTATTTACCAAAATTATAAAGTTTGAATCATGTTTCGTTCAGATCGGTAGAGCGAAAATACAAAAAAAATAAATAAAAAACTTAAAGTGATAGTAGAGGGTTGAATATTGTTGAAGGAATTTTAGAAATTTCTTTTGAAAATTTCTTTGGTGTAGATTAGAACGTGACAACTAAAATGGGGCTCACATTCAGTCAATATTCAAGCAAAAACTAACTGCAAGGTTGAATTTCAATCATATCTACTAATAAGAAGTGCCATATGGTACAAACTTTATTGGTGTATAATTGACTGAGTGAAAAACAACCACATGTGACTTGAACATAAATAAAATGTATGTCCTATAAAAACTTGCTTATAACACAATAATTCCATCGCATTTCAATTATTAGCAATCTTTATCACGAAGTAGTCATAAAGCTAGATTTTAATTACAACAAGACAAAGTTATTCGAATATTGTTGAATCATAGAAAACAAACTTCAATACCACAAATCTTATTTTTTTCTCAGATGGTTATATAAGTTGAGCTAACATTTGCGAACGTATAAAGGAAATATTTTGGACCAAACCAGAACAGAATTACGGTCTCTCGACGCGCGTTTCGCTAACCAAGTTAGCGTCCTCAGGAGATCATTATGACTATTATGTAAGTGTTTTTATGAGCTAGTGGTCTAACTACTACCTGTTCGTAGTACCTAACAATTACCGGTTAGTATTACCTAACTACTTCCTGGTATTGTTCCTATGCTAAACTACCTGTTTTTTTGATACCTCTAATTTGTTATGTATTTCCTCTGTGTTTGTGACTATTCCCTACATTTTTCTCTGATATTCATCTATTTTTCATTTAGAATTATTACCTATAAGACCAAACACGAATCTCTGGATCACAGACGTGGATGATGTATTTGCCGTTTTCGATACGAATAGGAGTACGGTAGAGAATTTTATATTTTGTCTCAACAACAGATTTGCAAGTATTAAATTTACGTAAGAAATTGAAAATAACGAAGAACTATTACTGGATGTACTACCTATTGTAAACGTCGATAAGGGCCTAGAGTTTGATTTACAAAGAAATAATACGAGCACTTTCATGTATATCCCTGACAGCTCCCATCATTGCCCACAACAAAAAATGGCGGAATTACAATTTCTTGTCCATGAAAGCTCACATTTTTCTTCTGCAAAGAAATGTATGAGATTGAGGAAAAAGTTTTTAGGGCGGTGGCTGAAAGCAACAGGTATCCATCAAACATTGCGGATAAATTGATTAGAAAACAAACATTTAGTGAGTATCATCGTAATGCTTCGACTTTAAGAAAAGAGGAAGATTCAAAATTTATAATGCTTCCAAATGAACCCAAATTAAACAATAGGTTTGTCTAACGTTCAAAAAATTGAATATAAGAGTGGCTTTCAGAATTACACGTACATTTCAACAAGTGTTGGACAGTCCGAATAACAAGACGTTGGAAACAAATGTCTGGGATTTACGAAATAAGATGCGAGTATTGTGATAAGAAATATGTTGGTCAAACCACACGGACTATATTAGCTCGCTACAAGAACCATGCTTCGCATGGTCGGTTTCATAAAACGGAAAAATCTAGTGTCGCTGAACATGTCATAGAGAACGACCGCAGAATAAGTGAGAAACGTTTAAAATTATTCATACCGGTACATGACAACAGGTTTCTGGATGCCTTCGAAAGCTTGGAAATCGAAAAGTATGGAATGAGTTTTATGAATAGCAACAAAGTTACCCTAAATGGGTTGGCAACCCCTCCAAAAAATCTTAAATGATTCAGGTGGCGACTGGCACATTATTTCAAATTCACCTGAGATTTCTTTGTAAAACACACATTTTTTTGTAAAATGAGCCCTTGAAAATCTTCAAATAATAAACGGATACATTGATCAAAGAAGGTGATGGGTTTCATCAGAATTGAATAGATAGTTTTGTTCTGATTTCAGATCAATAAACATTGCCTAGATAGTGAAAATCGTTGGTATTTCATCTCCTATTCTGAAGTGAACGTTACAAATCATGTTGGTTCAAATAATTGCAATGTTAACTTAAAATTATAAACTAAGAAAGTTTCAGAATACCTACAATTAGAGCGGAGGCTGGTGTGTACCCTCCTCCCCCCTCCCCGTGGAAATTTTGAGGTTTTAGGTGTTGCGAATTACAGCATATCCCGGAAAAACACAAAAAAATCATGAAAATTACCAAGTATTTGATATATTTGAATTCTTTGCTTCTAATATTTTTTTTTTTGTTTCAGATAAAATTTAAAAATGTCTGATGAGAAGCCTTTAAGTTTAAAGAGAAATGGAGCATCAACATTACAAGGCAAAAGATGCATTATTCATTTTGATGAAAACAAATCTGACACTTTACTAAGGCCATTTTCGGCCCAATCATTACAAAAAGTTCGTGACTGTGTTGAAGTAAGACTTAAGGAAAGCACTGACAGTAAAAGCTTTGAAACAGTATGTTCCATTGGTTCTCAATACAGATTATTACTTTTATCATCGCTGGTGTTACCAACAATTTACAAACGTCTCAAAAATTATGAAACGAGTGCGGGGCAAGGACAGTGAGCCGTCCACGTCCAGGCGTGCACACAAATCTGGTTCAATAGGAAATATATTTCCAAGTGTTGGCTGAATTTTTTGCAATAAAAATCTAAAATGGATTTCTTCACAAAAGAAGTATGAGCTACCTACAAAATGTTTAACTGAAATTGGTGGGACATCCATTTTAGAAGCTGCAGAAGCAAGGGCAGACGAAAACTTGTTGTGTAAATTGAGAGATGTTGATTTCATAGCTCGGGAGGTGCACCATCATAATCAGATTCGTAAGGAATATACAAGAAATCCTGATAGGCGTCCCCATGCTGATATAGACAGTGAGTCACTTGCACAGCAAAATGCCCACAAAGAAGCATTTGAAAATTGAAAAAATTATTGTCAAGAAAGTATAATTGTTGGTGGTAATGTTGAACGCATCTTGATACTTCATGAGCGATATTTGTCATTCATGACAGAAAAGAGAAGAGTTATAAAACTGACAAATTGAAAAAACATTTTGTCAATAAGTTATCATTTTGGCAGCCAAACTACAGGAGTGAGCTTGTTTACTCATCATTTATACAATCTGGAGAAGCTGAAGAAGCTGCATCCGAAGCAGCTTCATCTGATATGCGAAGGATACAAGAAGCTTCAATGATTTTGAGACGACATGTCCAGCAGACATATGAGAGTTTACTTTCAATACCTTGGCCTCCTCCAGCCGAATTCTTGGCGTAAGACGAAACCAAAGCTCCTGATATACTATGTGAATTTCTTTCGAATGTGACAAGCGGGAAACCACTGAAAACTGCACATGACAAAATTGAACGCACAGTGAATTGGATTATTATTCAAGAGAGAAGTACTGTGTCGCAGACATTTAGTAGCCCCCCTGATGTACCTAGAACTAAACAGCGTTCTGTGAAATTGAGGGATCCCTACCACCTTGTTTCATTCTAAAGCATCCTGAGCCCAACATTGATGCAACATTGAAGATGAACCAGAAGTACTAAACTTGGACGACATAATACACGAGGATGAAGAAAACTACAGTGACAAAAAGGACAGTTGATTACAAAAAAATAATGATACTACAAAATCATATGATGTTGGTTGAGTTAATTTGTGATAAAATTGTATTTTCAATATTAGACTTTGAATATATACTGTATGTTCATAAAAAATGATAATTATGAACATACAGTATTCTTCAGTATTTCATTATTATCATTTTTTTTCACTGAGGATACACTACAAAAACACACTTTGGTCTATTTTCCACGATATTTCTTTATTGTTGACAAGTTTCGGCTATTATACCATTTTCAAAACTAACTGATTACATTTAAATCTGAGTAATATATACCTATGTTGCCTATCCTATCATAAATAATTTGGTACAAAATTTTTGTATACCTGTAATATCCATGAACATAACAAAATAAAGCTTTTTATATAATGTAGGTTTTGGTTACTAGATTATAGGTTCAGGAGGGGACTATTATTTAGATCAAGTTGTTCGTTGAGGACAATAGAATTGGTATTTTCCTATGACCTGTTTATTTCCATAGATTCCAACAGATTCAACATTTTCCCTTTTTCGCATGTGTGAAGGATCTTTAAATTATCTTTATGTATTTTATGTTTCCAATTTTGAAGATGTTCGTACATTAATGATTTTGTATCCAAAATGCCATGTTCGTGGTACCTTGTATCAAAATTTCTACCAATTTGGCCTGTATATATGGCGGGGCATTCACCACATTCTAGTCGATATATACCAGATTTCAGTGAACATGAATTTCCACAAAATAAACAACAAAGAAGTTTTTATATTTTCTTTAATGTGCTGTAATTTTAAAAAGCAAACAATTGAATTATTAATCTGGTAGGTATTACAAATAAAAAAAAGTATAAGTCATAAATTCCCACGGGGGGAGGGGACGGTTTCATATTGGTAGCTCTAAATACTTTTTAGTGAAAGACATCACGGTAAAAGTCTCACTTTAAATTTACGGAGACTGGATTAATTGCTAACGGATAAACAGGGTTACTAACAAAACAGCACGGGTTACAATTTTAGGATATGTTCAACTGAATCCTTCTTCAAGACAATTAGAAACAACAATTCCAAATATTCAAAATATCTCAAACACCATTGGTTCTTTATCTATAGGATACATCCTGTGCAAGAGATTGGTAAAGATGAATTAGACCGTCCTTCACAAGGGATAAATGCCAGAATTTTGAACAGTTCTTTTTTTTTTGAAATTCTACGTTCTTTTTTGATGTAATGGAGATGTGAACGGATTCAATTTCTGCAATTATGTGAAAACACCATTCACCAATATCCAGAAAAGTTAAATGATTAGCCTGGAATTTTCGGAAATGATATTGTTGGTCATGTTTTATTACTCAAGATCTCATCCACCACAACTTTGTTGAAGTTAATGAAATCAACGACCAAATTCCAGAAACCGGTGTTTCAAAAAATGGCGTTTCTCCACCCTACGCAGCTCCTGAACGTGTAGTTTTAAACCAATATATTCTCCAACACCGTAAAACGAGTTTCATAGAAAGACCCCCAAGATCGTCAGATCTAACACCACTGGATTCTTTCTCGCAGGATGATCTGAACCCTTATCGAAAGGTGGATTTTAATGAGTAACAAATAATTTCAGTGTGTTTACGATCAGCGAAAGCAAAATCGACTTGAGTCCAGGGCCTCCTTGTCGTTGTTAGAGTACAAAATTTGGGTATTTTATATTGTATATCGTATTGGAGATTGCTAAGTAAATGTTTCGTATCTTACCTAATGTTATTTGAATGACAGTATAGCCGTGCAATAATTGTGCGCAAATTCCACACACCGTCGTAACAATCATGATTCCTATGAGAAGTCTTTTGGCTCCGATGATGTTGATGAAAGTACCATTGAAGATGTAACATACAGCGTAACAACCTCCTACTATCAAGGAAACTAAGAAGACGCTCTCGTTTACTGTATCAGAACAACTATCAGACTGGAAAACAGAAAACAAAACACCCAATCAGTGGGAAAAAAATCAGCCACTTACATTAAAATTCCAAGTACTGCCATTTACATTTGTTTAGTTAGTTCTTACGATTGACTTGCGAATGAAGCATTTATGATTCGAAGTATTAAATGAAGCTAACTTATATATACTCTTTACTTAACAGTTCACCAACATTTTTGGGAAAAAAAGTTTTTAGGCTTTCTTTCATTATGATCTCTTACCACGTAGTAACGGCTACATCCATCAATTTATTTTAAAGAAAACTTTATTATTTAGCAGTACCATGAGAGCAACCATTGCTCGATTGGTATTGCTCAAAAATAGTAAGTTTGCCTTTGAAAAAAAATGGACATTCATCTGGAAGAATTTTAAGGCCATATGGTGTTGGTAGAGACTATTTCCTGAAGTATTCACAGCTGACTGCACCGATATAAGAGCAAACTCTCAATTCTCGAATTGAATCAGTTTTATCACCTGAATAACAGGAAATTTCAACAAGAATATTTGTTGGAAATTATAATTATTGAAAAAAATGTTCGTATACATAAACAGAGTACGTAAATGACTGAATTCAAATTTTTCAACAAGAGAATTTCACTTTCAAAATCTATCATTATACCTTAACATGAGACTGCGGAACTGGTACTTGAGTCACCCGACGTCGCGTATTCTTTTCGATTCTTACTATCTAAAATAATGTTTCAATTCAAACCAAAGATGCCTTATTATACCAATAGATTTTTAAAAGGGTACTGAGATTTCTCAATATCATGGAAATTGTTATTAGTCAAGGTGGAGTTTGAATTGAATGATTGTTTCATTTTAGTGAGGTTACGTCAATCAGTGAGGTGTGGTAATTCGTTTATCATTTCAGTCTTGTATCTTTTCATTGTATTGGTGAGTTTTATTTCATTCACATTTTCAGTCTGAGTAGAGTTAGGGTCATAATATAATAATATCAAATTGAACCTGAGAATTTCTGTAGATGTATTCATAGAAAGTTTTAATATTTCATTCCACTGGTTCAATTTGATAAGAACAAAGACAGTGATTGGAATTGTGAGGATGATGCATATGCATAACTATAAGCCCTTGGAGTCACATTTGAATCAAGAATATTGACAGCTAGATGTTAGTTTTATGTATGCCAGTTTTATCGCTGCTAGAAACGGGGTTTTATTGCTGTGAAACTATTTTGGTTGCCTAGCTTTCAATTTCATGATATTTCATCGATTTAAAGAAAATAGTCACTGTGAAACCAATTTTGGTGGCCTAGTTTTCAACTTTTTCATCATTTTATCAGTTTGAAGTAGTATTATAAGTGGTACATATCATTTGAATTCCATTGATATATAATGTGTGAATATATACGAATATCACATATTCAGTAAATATTTTAAATGATTGAATGTGATAATAAATCAATAACATTTGAAATGTTATAAAATGATTTGAAATCCCTGAAAGAACTAAAAGAGAAGTATTGAAAATGAATAGCTGAAAATAATTATATTAAGCAAAAAACCTGAAATGAAATAATAGTGAAATAAAATACAAGTGAAAATAGAACAATTGAACAAAAAATTAAAATTAAAAAGTTAAGATATTCCAAGTCAAGTTACTTCACGACGTTTCGATTGTTAGTATCCACAATCGTCTTTGGGTGATGACACAACCAGTGCCTGCACTTTCCTAGCTCAGAGGATAATCGGAATGGGTTAGGAAAATTGGTTCCAAGTACAACATCAGAACCTGCTTCAGATCCGGAAACACTAACCGTAGCAGCCTCACGAAAACCAGGTCACCAAACGTGGACGGCGATTCCAAGAATTGCATTTACCGGATACCCTGTGAGTGCTGAGATCATACACAGAGAGGAACATTGGTTTAGGAGGAAATTCAAAGAAGCCGCATACATGTTGTCTAACAACGTATTTATCCAAACTAGCGTAGAGATACGCAACATATGGAAACCCACCATCAAGCGAAAAATGGCCAACTCCCGTCATCTCCCACTAAACCAGTAAAGCGGAAAAAGGAAAGCGGCGATAAGTGAAAGTACTCGAATTACCCATAAATGGTCATCTCTCGGAAGAATCAGTCCAGTCATCACCCGAAGACAATTGTGGATACTAACAATCGAAACGTCGTGGGATAACTTGACTTGGAATCTCTTAACTTTTTCATTTTTATTTTTTGTTCAATTGTTCTATTTTTACTTGTATTTTATTTCACTATCATTTTTTCAGGTTTTTTGCTCAATATAATTGTTATTTTCAGCAATTCATTTTTAATTCTTCTTTTTTAGGATGTTCAAATCATTTTATATGATATCAGACAATGGAAGTTCGAACTAATGAAATTCACCATGAAATATTATCACCTTCAAACAAATTATGAAGGTGGTGAGCGTTGAGGGTCAAACCTAGAGGCCCCGAAATGGTACATTGAGGAACTCATGTATGCAATAATTTTTTTACTTACAACCAATAGTTTTGTCACGGTGTCATTTTCTGGTGGATTTAGTGTTATATTCACATTTTTATTGTTTTGATCGTACATGACTGATTTGCACATGGTTACCTCGCTCTGTGAAACTACTTCTCCGTATTCAGACATGAGATTCAGAACTGTTGGGTACCACATGATTACCGCTGCAGTCCTGAAAACAAAATATAACATAATACTATATTTTCAAAATTATCCAAAAGTATCGACAGTGATTTCGAACTATTGATTCCTAGCCATTCGATTATTACATTTTATATCTCTCTCCTCCAAATTATTAACTTGGTAATGATTGAGGTTTTGTTTCCTTTGCCAAAAAATGTTTCAGAAATGTTGACATGGTCTTCTAATTAAAAAAATCACTTCTGTTCTCTTAATATTTTGAAAAAATTTTCAATGCCTCGAAGTTTTAAAGAAAAATGAAAAGAGAAATGAAAAATTTGTTTTTTCCATGTTTCTTACCACTTTTATTTTTGACAGCTAGATGTTAGTTTTATGTATGCCAGTTTTATCGCTGCTAGAAACGGGGTTTTATTGCTGTGAAACTATTTTGGTTGCCTAGCTTTCATTTTCTTGATATTTCATCGATTTAAAGAAAATAGTCACTGTGAAACCAATTTTGGTGGCCTAGTTTTCAACTTTTTCATCATTTCATCAGTTTGAAGTAGTATTATAAGTGGTACATATCATTTGAATTCCATTAATATGTAATGTGTGAATATATACGAATATAACATATTCAGTAAATATTTTCAAATGATTGAATGTGATAATAAATCAATAACATTTGAAATGAACGCGGAAAAGTAATATTTTTCATTCTTTTCCTGACTTCAGTGTGGAAAATTGTGCTTCAAAATAAAATACGACTTACGTGAAAAACATGATAAACTGCAACATACTGACCATCATGGTCCTCAGCAGATATTCTTTCCTGAACAGCGGTGCCGTTTGTTCCCACATGGACCTCAGCAGACCTTCGTTTTTCTCATGGTTCACTTCAGAAGTTTCCTCCCAGATTATTGAACTCACTGGAAATTCATCCTCACTTTTTCCGGAATTGATAGAAAATATTTTCCTCAGAATAGCTAAGGCTTCTTGGTGCTTTCCTTGTGAGATCAAGTACTTTGGGCTTTCTGGTAAAAAAAAGACGAGCACAGCGAAAAAGAGGCACGGTAAGGAGTATACGATCATAAGCAATCGCCACGGCCGAAAGCTGACGTTCAGGCCGCTTATTTCGTAGGACCATTCCTCAGGGAGAATGAGCCAAGCCAGACCTGGTAGGTACATGTTGCCCAGCGCTATGAAGGTGGATATCCATGATACTACTTTCGCTCGGTATTTATTGTCGTGAAATTCGCCTACGTATGCGTAGATGATTGCTGACGATCCACCGATTCTGCAAAATAAAAATGATGGATATAGATCTGAAGAACGTGAGAGCTTTTACTGAAATTCCTAAGTTTTTACATCTCTGCATCATCATTGTCTGTGCAAAAATTAGAAAGTGTTAGTACTAATAATGTATTATCAGATCATTGAATATCAAGATGATAATATCCTACTGAAATATCAGAAGGACTTCAGACAAAACCCATTCATGTTAGTCAGCTTCCCAAGTTTGAAAATTGAAAGAAAGGGCATTATTTTGTAGCTATGTTTTTGGATCTAAAAAGAACCTGTAGATAATGGATCCCCATATACAGGGTGTCCCTGGACTTCCTCTTTTCCTCTCGGGAATGTATAGATGGGGTCAAAATATCACCAGTACTTCATATAACTTTTTTTCCTAAAAGTCTTCGTAACCAAGTTACGGGCCCTCGAAGTTACAAAATGAAAAATGTTTTTCTTTGATAACTTTTCAAGTGAATATTCAAAATCATCC